CTTAGAACGATCAATGGCGTGGTTTTTCCTACATTTAAGGATGCCTGCTATTCTTTAAGACTTCTGGATGATGATAATGAGTACATTGATGCAATTAAGGAGGCAAGTTTCTGGGGATCTGCTGCTTATCTTAGATGTCTATTTGCTCTGTTGTTATTTGCCAACTCAATTAACAGACTTGAAAAAGTTTGGGAAGAGTGTTGTAAATTTTTATCCGATGACGTTGTTTATCGGCATAAGAAAATAATAGGACGTCAAGTTACATGTTATGATAATATTTCATGCATTTATTTCTATATGGAAAAACACAATATATATATATATATATATATATATATATATATATATATATATATATATATATATCATGCAATTATTTTTTTTTTGTTTAACCAAATTCAGCATATGTTGCTTTAGTATTTATTTTGCTTTTTTTCTTTCTTTTATAGCTTTCTCTTTGTTAATTTTTTAATTTTTTTTCCTTTGTATGTTATGGTTTTTCAAATGCGCTTCTTACAGAAGAGTCTATAAAAAACATAACCCTTGCAGAAATTGATAAGGTATTGCAGAGCAATGGAAAATGCCTCTCTGATTACCCGTCAATGCCACACATCACCAGTGAATCTTTGCTTGATATGCAGAATCGATTAGTGATGGATGAATTAATGTATGACAGATTTTCTTTGGAAGAAGAGCATAAAAGACTAATTAATTATCTCACCGATGAACAAAGAGTTGTTTATGACAAAATTATTTCAGCGGTTACGGCAGGTAAAGGAGGGTTATTTTTCCTATACGGGTTCGGTGGTACAGGAAAAACATTTATTTGGAATACTCTTTCAGCATCTATTAGATCAAAAGTTGGAATCGTACTTAATGTTGCTTCTAGTGGAATTGCTTCCCTTCTACTTCCTGGAGGACGAACAACGGGTTCTAGATTTCGTATTCCTATTCAAATCAATGAAGATTCCATGTGTAATATAAAGCCGAATTCTACTATAGCTGAGTTGTTGTCAAAAATAAAGTTAATCATTTGGGATGAAGCACCAATGATACATAGATTTTTCTTTGAGGCTCTGGATAGAACACTCAGAGATGTTCTTAGAATTTCTGATACAAGTTGTGTTGATATTACCTGTCATTCCTCATGGCAGCAGACAAGAGATAGTTCATGCAACCATAAATTCTTCTCATCTACGGTCCGATTGTCATTTATTAACTTTGACCAAGAACATGAGTCTTAATTCTGGAAGTAGCACTCACAATTTGAAGGAAATAAAAGAATTTTCTAAGTGGCTACTTAAAGTTGGGGATGGTGATCTTGGAGATGATGTTGACGGAGAATCTATTATAACAATTCCAGATAAATTGTTGATTAGAGAATCGGAAGATCCGCTGTCGGATATGGTTAATTTTGTTTACCCGGATCTCTTGGATAATATTTTAGATCAGACGTTCTTTAAAGAACGTGCTATTCTAACTCCTAAATTGTCCGATGTTGCTATGTTGAACGAGCACCTAATGTCTATGATTCCTGGTGAAGAAAGGACTTTTTTGAGTTCAGATAAAATTCTTAAGCAAGATGTGACTTCCTCCGTTGAGGATGATGAAATCACCCCTGAGATCTTAAATACATTATCATGTTCGGAGATTCCTAATCATAAATTAACCTTGAAGGTTAAAGTTCCAGTAATGCTATTAAGAAATATTGATCAGTCGAGAGGTTTACGCAATGGCACGAGATTGCTTATTGAATTCCCCCTGATTGTTTCGTTTGCCATGACTATTAATAAGAGTCGAGGACAATCACTTTCACATGTTACAATTTATTTTCCTAAGCCTGTCTTCACTCATGGGCAATTATATGTGGCATTGTCTAGAGTAAAGAGCAAGCATGGATTGAAGATATTGATACTTGATGAAAATGGTTGCGTTACAAATAGTACCCTTAATATAGTTTACTAGGAAGTATTTCAAAGACTACTGTAGTATATTTGGTTCTGTCTTCAAAGAGATAACATCGTTGTTTGGTACAGGTAAAGACAAAAAAAAATTATTACGCGAGTCCTTTTTTACTTATCTTTGTTGCCATTTGGTTCGGCGTTCGGTATTTTTTTTATTGTCATGCATCAATATTAATTCATCACTGCTAATTTGTTATGACGGAGCAGGATTAGTATTTCATGCACAATAGGTACGTTGTTAGCTACTATTTTTGCACAAACATTTAGATTATTTCATGCACAATAAATTGGTGTATTGTTATAACAATTTTGATTTGTACTCACAAATTCATGTTTCTTTTTTGATATTTTTCATTCATAGATTATTTATGATTCATTTCAAAAAGGGGGAAGCATCACAAGTGCATCACAGAATGGGTTTTATAACTTTTGCAAGTATAGGTTCGGCATCTTTCAATTTACCTTCATGTCAAGCACAACATTTAGATATTTTTTGATCGCATGTTGCGTGTTTATGTTTATTATGCTTGGACTCTATTACAGACATATAATATTAGGTTGCAAATCCCTTCCTTATTCTATATTTTAATTAAGCCTTTGTTGATTGCTACTTTCTATTTTAATTTTGCTTGATTGATGATATGGATACTTGATAACAATGGTCGTGTTACAAATAGTACCCTTAATCATGAAATGCATGTATTTCTATAATGCTATTGTTTTTTTGTTTTTTTGGTAGACATAATGCTATTGTTTTTTACTCTCAAAGTCATGTTTATTTTTCCACACTTTTATTTATAGAATATTTATCATTCATTTCTAACAGGAGGAAGCATCAAGAGTGAATCGCGGAATGGATTTTATCACTTTTGCAAGTATACGTTACGCATCTTCTTCTTTTTTCGGTAAACTGTTACGCATCTTTCTTATTACCTTAATGTCAAGCACAACGTTTGAATTTTTTTTTATTACAAATACATTATATTAAGTTGCAAATCACTTGGATATTTTGAATTTTATTAAGTCTTTATTAATTAATCTTTTTTATTTTATCATCGTCGTGTTAATAATACATGTTTTGTTACCTACATATGCCAATATGTTTTATAGTGCAGCTCAACGTCGTTATTTAATTTGAGACTGAAGAAAGATATATCTTTTTTGTTTATTCCTAGATCATGCTCTTATATTTTAACAAAAAATATTATTCATAATATTTATTTTAAATTTACAGAAATTTTTACAAGACAAACAAATCGATTTTTTTCCCCGTGAATCGGCACGGGTAATAAACTAGTGTGAAGAAAAAGACAACCAATTCATTGAATAAAGTGTTCCATTACTTTTTTTAATATTATATATACATTGTCTTTTTCTTAAAATGACAATACAATTGATTCCTACAACATGAGGGATATAATTTCCTTAAATAAAAGAGATAATTTTTTTACTCCAGTTTCAGCTGTTGATTTTTGTTTATATAATTATTGTAATTTATTTAAAATTAATAATTAATCAATAGGAAATTTTATACTTACTATTATTTTATACTTAATTAATAAATATATAACTCAATAAATTATAACTATTATATGAACAGAAATCAATGGTTGAGATAGAGAGTAAGACTTCTTAATCTTACACTAAAATTAAAAGATCTTGCCTCAATATATAATATATTAATTCACAATAAATGATAACCGTTTATTGGCGGAAATCAACAGTGTTAAGATATGGTTGTAAGAGGTTGTTAAAAAAAAAGGTTTGTAAGTATAACCTTCTTCATATTTATTTAAAAGTATTTTTTTTTTTTGGAAATATTTCAATCGGTTCATTGCTGCGCAACTAATCTGATTCGGAACGAGTCCAGGATTAAGGCTTTAAACCCCTCCCAAAGGTGGTACTGGGGAGATTCGAACACATGCTCTCACCCCCACCTGCTTAGCTCTCATGCACCAACTGAGCTACCACCATTTGGTAAAAAAAAGGTAGAATTTAATTAATAAGAAAGAGATACACACAACATTCCATTCCTTCTTATCATTGTTAAAATGTTAGAAAAATTTCATTTTCACCCACTGTAATTTTATGATTTATCGGTTGACCCTGTGGTTATAAACTTTGTCATTTAGTCTCGTTGTGCTTAAATAATTTATTATTTAACCCCCTATGATTTCAATTTTTCACTTATACTCATTGTGATTATAAAATATATCACTTATACGTCTCTCTTGTGGTCTTATAAATATAAAAGTATTTTTTATGTACTACATTTAAATGTAAAATAACTTTTTACTTTTAAAAAAAGTCCTTCTTAAATAAATAAGACGAAAAAATTCCTTTTCTTTAAAAGTTTATCTAAACAGGTTATGTAAAGAACCTTGGGATACATCACTCCAAAAGCTAGCTCAAAGGGTGAGAGTGTCCAAGGTCTTATAAAATCCACATTAGTTGCACATGCAACCAATGTGTGACTATATATCTCAACACGCCCCCTTACACGAGAGCCCATTGGGCTTGAAGAGTGGACAATGCAACAGGCCCAGCCTACCTGTGCTAAGAAACGCCATAAGAGAAAGTGGGGGGCGGCGAGACTCTGATACCATGTAAAGAACCTTGGGATACACCACCCCAAAAGCTAGCTCAAAGGGTGGGAGTGTCCAAGGCCTTATAAAGGCCACATCAATTGCCCACACACGCCCCCTCACGCAAGAGCCCTTTGGGCTAGAAGCGTGAAATTGCACATGCCCAATTTTTGGTTTATCTTTTTGTGTTTTTTATTTTAATTCCACTTTAAAGTGGAGGACAGTGAGGCTCTGATACCATGTAAAGAACCTTGGGATACATCACCTCAAAAGCTAGCTCAAAGGGTGGGAGTGCTTAAGGTCTTATAAACTCCACATTAGTTGCACATACAACTAATGTGGGACTATATATCTCAAGAGATTAAGGTGTGCAAATACCATAAAATTATCAAAGCATATATATAATTAACTAAAACTAAGTTTTTATTAAACTCAAATTCAAGTACATGAATCAAGCAGCATTGACTGCAATTTTCATCCCACCCTCGCAATGACCAGGAAAATTACATATGAAGTAATTCATTCCCTTAACAAGCTGGATTTGATCATTTCCCGAATGATACACATTTCCTCCTTTTGGGGTACTGCATGCATTGTAACCAGCCTCGTCCACTACCACCACGTTGTGAAGAGCAGAATTATACTGGAATACTGCACGTATAAAACAATAATAAAATAAAAATGAGACATATGCGTGAGAAAATTAAATAATTAAATTTTATTTGAAATATGTTCTCTTGTATAAAAAAATTAAAGAGAACTCTTTTATATATGTAGAAATTAAATTGATTTATTTGAAACATAATAAAAAGATTCAAACTCTGGAGTAATAGACCGTATATATATAGGTAGTAATTAAGGAATGAATTATAACTTCTTATGTTTAAAATTTTAAGTGGATATATATCATAGATGATATTTAATTATGTCTAATATATATTACAAGCAAAAATCTTCATCACAAAATTATATGATAATACTAACCGAGGATATCACCGGCTCTAAAACTCTTTCCTTTAGGCCAGTAAAAAGCGTCTAAGGACCAACCACCTGTATCTCCAACCTTATAGGTGTTTGCATGAGCCATCTTAGAATGAAGCATCAGCATACAAAATAGTAGCATTAGAGTGATCATTGCACTAGTGCCTCTTCCCTGAGCCATTTCTTTTTTTCTTTTGTTTTGCTCCAACACAGATTTAGAATGGTTGAAAGCGAGAGCTGGAGAAGAATTTATAACGGAGAAAAATTTGCTGGTCTCAATGGTTGTTTGAATACTTGAGAATTGCTTGTCATTATTCATTCAATTAAAATATTTATAAAATAATAATATATCTACGTATGCAATTGAAATATTTATTGATTCTTAATGTGAATAAAACAATTTTGCTTATTAAGTTCCACCGCTCAAAGCCTCAAAGTCAAAAAGCAGTTTCTATTCATTCAATTGAATTATTAAATGACTCTTAAATACTTGAGAATAAAATAATCTATACTCATTAAATTTGCATTCTTTGAGAAGGCTCCAAACTTAAATCGAAAGCAAAAAAGATAAAACTAAGGTGCGTTTGGTACGAAGATTTTAATACAATCTTTGGAAAAATGGGTAGAGAAAAAATGTTTACAATATTTAGTATGAGATAAGTTAAAAAATACTGGTATAAAATATTTTCCAAGAATTATTTTTTCAACTGGACATTGGCAAAAAAAAATACCATTCAAACTATGGTATTTTTTTTATCCTATGATCCTATCAACCGAGAATCTTGTTTTTAAAATTTGTGGCAGAAATATCCTGAATAGATGTGTTATCTTGTTTAATAAAAATTCTTATTTAATAAAACAGAGACACCCTATTATAAAAAGAATGTTTAAAACAAATTTTCAAACACGGTGGGTAATTTTGTAATTTCATTCTACATTCCCACATATATTTCACTACCAACCAAACATAGCATTATAAAAAGAGTGAGGATATTCTAACTACCAAAATCTCTCACTACTAACTTACTACTAGGGGTGAAAATGGGCTGGGCTGGGCCAAGCTTTGCCCCGAAAAGCCTAAGCTTACGCCAAAAAATTTCAACTTGACCTGGCTCAAGCCTATTATGAGTCTAACTGTTAGCCTGACTTGGCCCGTTTATAAAAAAACAAATGGTCTGGCTTGGCCCGTTAGCCTGTTAATTTTTAACTTCCAAGCATAACCATGAATCAACTTTACGAAGTACTCAAATTCTGTTGCTACACCAAAAGTCATAATTTCAACGTCCAAACAGAATCATGAATCATAACAAAACTTATACAATATGCATTTAAATCATTTTCAAAAGCAAAATGCTCAAACTAAATAACATATATTTTATTAGATCCAACAAACAAATTCATACTATGTAAATTAAAATAACTACATGAATCCAACAAACACATCATGATGCTTGTAGTAAGTATAACCTTTCCAAAAAATCTTTTAATATATTCATATACACAATCTAACATGTTGAGATGTTGGTTCCTCCTATATAAGAAATAAAGTAAGATTTCTATTAAAATATAATCAAAAATAATTAAGTTATAAATAATTGTAATTGATTAAATTTATATCTTTTGTTTTTCATTCAAGGCATACTTACTCTATTTTATTTTATTTAAAATAAATAGTATAATATAGGTCGGCCTGTAGGCTTATAGGCCCGGCCTTTTGAAAGTGGGCTCACGACCTTTTTATTAAACAGACTTTTTTAAGGCCCATTCCCGACCTATTATACAAAATATACTAGGTCAGGTCTGGCCTGATGTAGGTCGAGCCATAGGCCTCTGTAGGCCGGCCCGGCCCAGTTTCACCACATCACCATTGGATCAAAGAGAGAGAATGGTAAAAAGTTTTTGAAGAGAGAGAAAATATTAATCTAATGATGATTAGATAGGTAGTAAGTTGGTAGTAGAAAATTTTAATAGTTAGAATATTCCTCCTCTTATAAAAATAACTCAACATTCCTGACAAAAAATTTGGCCTACCAAACATTTTTTTATAACTTACCCGAGATAAAAAAGATCTTGCCATATTCTCTGAAACTTTTTTTCTAGTAAAAAAAAATATCTCTCGTACCAAACTCGTCTAAAAGCAAATAGAAAAAGAAGACAATTACCTACGTAATGAAGGACGTGGCTGAAGGAAAAAGAATGAATCTAATGATTTTATATTATCTTTTTTTCATTCTATTTTGTAATTAATTAACATGTACTCCTTACATAGGTTGAATATCTTTTATAACTATTCAATATTCACTACACCCAAGCTTGAAGAAATTAAGAAGATAAGACTGCACAGTACGATCATGTGTCATAAGAAAATAATTTTAAAGGAGTTGAGATGGAAGCTAATTTATTACAATTCAATAAGCATATTAATAGTTTTTTGTTTTTATTTACACTATTAAGGCATATCAGTTTGAGTATAAAGAATTCGGACTAATTATGTGGAAAATGGCAAGTGCAATCTCATCTCAATAATTTGGAAACTGAATCTTTTTTTTTTTTTTAACTTCTGGTTTTTTATTTTTGTTACGTTGTTTTGAATTTGAATACACCTTCTCCCTCCACATGGTGATCAATTCATGATTGAATGCATCTTCCCCTTCTAATCCTCATGTATAGTGTGACCTATATATAATAACCAAATTAGCAACCTTCAAGGCTGCTTCCCTCCCCCATTTTTGTTTGCTGGAGTAAATGAGATTCTACCATCACTCTTTTTTTGTGAAGGAAGAAATAGATTAATAAGTGAATTTCAAGTATATATTGAATAGTCATGTCTTTATTAAGATTTACAGAGAAAAAATAAATAAGGTTAAAATTTTAAATATGAATTGTGACGTGCATAAATAAATTTGAAAATGAATAAATAAAATGATGATCTTGTGAAGTAAAATAAAATAAAAATCATAAACCTAACGCTTTAAAACTTAAGATTTTTTTTTTTTTTTTTTGAAGATAAAAACTTAGTTAATCGTAATCATTTTTTTATTCATTACATTTTATGGCCTAGCTAGGACAATGTTTTAAAGGTAAACTATACTTAGTTCAATGAGTTATAAATCAAGCTACATAAATTAATAATTGATAAATGATAAGTATTTCTTATTAATTTAAAATATTTTCACATTAAAGCCCACATTTCTTAATACTTTTTATTATTTACATTTTATGGCCTAGGAAAATATTTTAAAACCTAAATCAATTATAATTATCTCGATGAGTTATGGTATTAATGAGCCGATATTAAGAGTCAAACTACGTACATAAATAAATGATAAATAAATATTATAATATTTTTTCTTATTAGTTTAAAACATTTCCATTGAGTAATTTATATTCAATGTTAATATAATACATTAATTATGAGAATGACAAACGTATAACTTAGTCAAACTCATTTAGTAAATGATCAATCAATCACAAGAGTTAGCATATACATATACCATTTCTCTTGTTCTATTACTTATCCAAAAGTCGTTTTCAGTCCTCACTAATTCAACGGTAGTGAGATGAACCCACTTGGGAGACAAAACTATTATAGCACCCTTTTTTTTTTTTTAATTCACTAGAACCGAATCTAAGACCTTAATAAAAATCTAACTCCTTATCATTTAAAATAAAATTTACGAAAAGTTTTTATAATAAAAAAAATGGGAAAGGAAGAAATAGGTGATGAGAATAAAATTTGACCTTAATTTTGATTTAGCTGCCTTTCATACATATATGTCCATTCTCCCTTAATTTGTCCTTAATGATATCTTGGCACACTCTTTTTTGGCACCCATTTCTCTTTGCATCCAAAATGGATGATATCTTTTACATACCATGAAAAAAGGTGTGCAAATACATTAAAATTAACAAAGTACATAGATAATTAACTAAGCTTTTATTAAACCCAAAATCAATTGCGAAAGTCATGCAGCATTGATTGCAAATTTCATCCCACGCAGGCAATGACCAGGAAAACCGCAGATGAAGTAGTTCATTCCCCGGGCAAGCTGTATTTGATCATTTCCTGAAAAAAACAATCTTTCTCCAAAAAAAGGATCGCATGTATTGTAACCAGCCTCGTTCACTACCAGCACGTCGTGAGCAAAAGGATTATATTTGAAAACTGCACATATAAAACAAGAATAAATAAAAATAGGGTAAAGTGTGTGTCATTTTAAAGGATGTAAAGTTGTGTCATTTTAAGAGAGAGAAAGTGATAGATAAAGGAGGAAAGAGAGTTGATAAAAAAATAAAGGTGTGGGCCCCACTTCTTTGTGAGAGTGAAAAGATATAAGTTATGTCATTTAAAAAGATAAACATTTTTCCCATAAAAATAAGGCATTTCAATTTAACAAAAGAATCAAACTGTAGACTAATAGATGGTATAGAGGTAGTAATCAATTATAATTTTTTTTAGAGAATAATATAAACCATTAAAAATGTCATTACTCAACGCCTTGAGGTTTTAGACTTGATTATGGTGTTTCAAGCCCACTTAATATCGTTGTTCAATGATAACCTTTTTAATGGGAGAGACTGCCAATCATAGGCCAAGTAGCAACGATATTAAGTGAATTTAGAACATGACAACTAAACCCAAAATCTTAAGACGTTGGATAATGACTTTTTTAATAGTTTGTATTATTTTCTAACGCACCCTCTCTCACGCAAGAGCTCTTTGGGCTTAAAGTGTGGATATTACATAGGCCAATTTTTTTTTTACTTTATGCATATTTAATTCCACAAGGGGGAGGCTGTAAGGATCGAACACGTGACCTTGTGGTCACTGAAGCTCTGATATCCTGTAAAGAACCAATTCAAAGCGCATCAAAGCTTCGGTGTCCCGAGTTCACTCATCGTCGCCTCCATTTTCTTTGTGGAATTTATTAATATAAGTAGACTAAACCTGATGCATCATCCACTTTTCAAACCCAACGAACTCTCTTGTCATGGGACGTGTTAAAAATATATAAAATCATTAATGTAACCTCATCCAATAACTTAATTTGGATTGAATCGATTCTTTATATATATATATATATATATATATATATATATATATGAGGTAGGATCCTTTGACATCGGTGTCAAATTTGAAATTTGACACCTCATCTAAGAGTCATTAGATCAAGAAAAATCAACGGTGTCACATGCTTACAAATCAGAGTCATTGATCTTTTTTGATCTAATGGCTCTCAGATGAGGTGTCAAAGGATCATGTCTATATATATATATATATATATATATATATATATATATATACGGGGCAGGATATTCTTACACCGGTGTAAGAATTAGAAGTCTTACACTCAATCTTGACCATTGATCCACTTGTATCCTATGGCTCACATTATTAAAAAATTTGAGCCCTTAGATATAAGTAGTATTAACGGACAAGATTAAGAGTGTAACTTACACTGGTGTAAAATGATCCTAACCTTATACATATATAGGGATAGGTTATATTTACAAACTTTTTTGTTTATAAATTCTTACAAACTACACTAAGTACGACTGGTCATACTTTAATCATGCAGTGTACGACCGGTTGTACTTAGTGTAATTTGCAAAAAAAAGTTTGTAAACGGATCATATCCCATATATATATATATATATATATATATATATATATATATATATATATATATATATATATATATATTTGTTAGAAATATAAGTGGTCATCTGAAACGGTGTCTAATCAAAGTAAAATCATTTATCACAAAATATGATAACACTAACCAAGGATATCACCAGCCTTGAAACTCTTTCCTTTAGGCCAGATACCAACATTAAAGGACCAACCACCTCCATCTCCAACTATATGGGTGTCTGCATGAACCATCTCAGAGTGAAGCACCAACACGCAGAATATTAATACTAGAGCAAACATTGCACCGTCTCTTTCCTGAGCCATATCCTTTATTTGCTCTAACACAGATTCAGAATGATTGAAAGAGAGAGTTGGCGAAGGGTTTTATAACCGAGGAAGCTGTCACTTTTAATGGATGTTTGAATCCTTGTTGGGTCCACCTATCTTTTTATTTTAAACGACTCTTCTCCATATCTTATTTTTATTTGGTAAAATAATGTTGTTCTTTTTTATTTTTTATTACCAGTTACATTTATAAATTAAAGTTTCTAAAAATTTGTACTGCTTATTATATTTACAAATTTTTTATTTATAAATTTTTACAAACTATATTATATATTAAAAATAGTACATACTATAAAAAAAATTGTCAATATATATATATTTTTTTTTTTGGTACTGATTCTTCGTATGAGAACAAAGTTCTGAGAAAGTATATTAAAAAAAAAAAAGTTCTGAGAATGTAACGAACCAATTGACAAAAGTAAGTAACTCCTTATGTGGACCTAGAATTTGACAAAAGTACGTTTACTTGTACTGATTCTGATCAGAATTTGACTTTTTGTTACAGTTTGTGAAAATATCGAGAAAGTCTCAAAGAGATAATTAAATTTGGCCGACCAAACTCTCTGTCTATCAAAATATCCCAACGTCTCCAATGCTGTCAGCTCCTGAGCTGAGTTGGCAACATAACACCATGAATTTTAATTAATGGCGAAGAAAAGCACGAGAGAATTCTTGGAACATTTAAATTGTCCCCAATATCTCAATTTAAACCCAGCTCTTCCTTGAGGTACTTAATTGCCTCAGATACACCGTCCTGGAAGTTGAAGAACCAAGTATGAATGACAAAATTTAACTATAGCTATAGCACCTTTAGGCATAAATTTTTCAGATCAAATATGAGGCAAACTATATAAAACGTTTTAAATAGTAAATTATACACTGTACATTATTAAATTAATAACTCTATTGCTCAAAAAAGAAAAAGTCACAGCACAGCAGCAATAAAAATAAACATTTCATTATTCATATAGCAATTTAGCTCTTAATAGTGATCAAGACAATTAAAATAAAAGCATAAATAAAATCACCTACTTTAAGAATAGTTATTACCTCAAGTAATATTCTTTCAGCAATTTCTGCAGCATGTGCTTTGACTCTTGATGATAATGCATCATGTATTGCCGGTGATAGTACACGTGCAGCTTCCTGGACACTACCGTCATCATTTTTATCAGGAAGCAAATGGTTTCTACTGAGCGGTTCAGGCGAAACACCAAGCCAATACATTCTCTCAGCCCAATAAAACTGATCTAGTATAAAAGGGCACACTACCTGCAAGTTGGTTCAACTAAGTCAAGTATATCTGGCAATAAATGATAGAAGGCTTCAAAGACAATTTTGTTGAGTTGGAAAACTTAGTTTAATCTAACAATCTTATGCTGGCAACACCTGAGATACACTCAGAAGACATGTACCATTAAGCCCCAACCAATTGTTTTACCCATACACGATATAAGAGTAATTTTGTGTAATAGGAATCATGGCGATGAAGAATCAATCTTCAACTCTTTAACCTTTCACTAAAAATACATTACAATCATAAGTCAATAGACACCAATCAAGAATGCTGCAAATTTCATATCACCCTCCTAAATAATTGATCAGTTACTAGATATCCAAGTGTACATAAATTGATCAATTACTGACAGTGGCGGAGCCACGTATAGTCTGGGTGTGGCCTCGGCTCGAGTTAAATTTTAACAAATTGTATTTATTATATATAATTATATAATTAATTATAATTTGGCCCGGATTAAAATTGTAATTTGGCCCGGGCTATAATTTAGCCCTATGTAAAACTTAAAATATTTTTGGTGAAAGATTTGGATAAGTTGTATTAGGTTACGTGTCTAATTTTTATTTGTATAAAAATAAATAAATTATTTTTAGTAAAATTATTACTTTTCTTAATGATGCTTGCTCAGGTGTTCTATATTTAATATAATTTAAATGTATTATGATATGAACTAAATAAAATTAAGAAAAATAAATACACATATAATTTTTTGACCCAGGCTCAAATTTGAGCCTCGCTCCGCCACTGATTACTGGGTGTCTAAGTGTACAACTCCACTACCATTCATGAAGGAGTATATTACCGTAAAAATGCCAAATCCACAACCTTAGAGAATATTCATGCAGCTAATTCAACACGATGCCATCCTTCACTATAAAATATTCAAGTATAAGACAAATTTTAGTACAAAGCACGTCTTCTGCTCTGTCTAGTTCATTGTCCCAAGGATGTTAAAAATCATGCAACTGAGAATCCTGTATCTAATAATGCATGTATAGTTGTAGCATGGATTTGATTCACTACTAACCTGTGGTGTGCCTGCCTGTAATGCAGCAGCAGTAGTTCCACTAATTACAGATAGACATTCCATGCAAAAATATCCATTAGTAAGCATCCCTCTTGAAAGCTTCAATTCAATGATAATATCAAAAAACAGCCAGGGGATCAGAATACAAATTCTCCTACCTGCCTCCATGGTGAATCACAGCAGCACATTTTGGGAAAAGCCAACCATACGGTATGGAACTATTCACATTGCATAAAAACATGTTATTCTTTAAGATTAAAAGAAATGGGTGGTTAATTAGCATTTTCTTTCGTTTCATAGAATTTCAGAAAAGAATGTTGACTTTTCTTCTATATAAGAGGAGATAAGATCATAAGAAACCATAACTTCAACCGTAAGTAACACTAAACTATATCAGAAATTCAAATTTAATTGAAACTCAAATTATTTAAACCCTAAAAGCTGGGTTTTGTGGAAATCCCAGTTATTCTATTAAAAGGAACGCCCTTTCCAGCCTAGCTTTAAGTTTGTTGTAGTAAAGTAGCTAAAGAAAACTCACCCAGAAAAGCACAAGAGTCGCCCATTGAATAGCGGAACACAATCTTCGCCCCAATTTTTCCAGTCAAATGATGCTTCTTCAGCAGCAATCATACGAACCACTGATTCTAAAGGTTCATATCCAGATGTAAAGAGAATAAATCTGTAATTTGTGGTGTTCAGGACAGTCTGAAGAACACAAATAAATGCATGAGGGTCTTTTAAAAAACCCATGCTGCAAGAGAAAAATAAGGTAAGAAAATATATATATATATAACTACGAGTCTTCAATGACGAAATCAACAACTATACTGTGTTACAAGGTTGAAGACAAAATTGAAGAAAGTTATACCTTCCAATAGAACTCAACCCAATAAAAATTGGTGTAGTCTTTATAAAGTTTTGCAACTCTAAATGACTGGGACATAACTCATCATTAGCATATTGATGTTCTGATAAATTATATACTGAAATTTCTCTGCATTTCTTACATGTAAACTGCCATTCAGTAGGGAGGAACCAAAAACCACAGACCCGCACTTTTGATGGCCAATATGCTGTCAATGCACTAAAATTAATCAGGTGATGAAACTGAAAATCTAAAAACAAGTGTACCAGAGGAATCATGCACCAAGAAATCAAATTTTACTAAAAACATGGCAACATAACATCTATGTCATCATTCCCGATAGGGAAACAGACTTTGGTACATCCCCACTAATCATGAATTTGAAAATTTTCTCAATTATAAAATTGAAAGCAATGGAAATTTAACATGACTAATTAATCACAATACTTTTCCTATCAAAAAGACAGGTCACAGAATTTGATTTCGAAGAAATTTCTGCTTAATATTTTACCAAATGAATGCTTGGTTAGAACATAAATTGACAGTATATTGTTTATTTAGACACAGTACATGTCTTGATTCTTGACACATCCCTCATTTTCATCAATTTGACACCAATCTAGCAAACCCAAAGAGATACCAGATACAAAGATTACAGAAAGCCATTGCTCAGTGTGGAACAAATTTGGTGCCAAGAGACACTTGAATGGGATAACATACATAATTTGAGAAGCATTTAATTGGAGCACTACTCTTCCCTCTCTTAGCATGTTACAGCGGCAATCATATGACACTCAAATTCATGGTTTGATATCAGGACAGTTTCTCCAATGGAGAAATAAAAGAAAAGGGCATAGATGAAACAAAAGAGATTAAGACAACGCAAGTAATTCCGACCCCAAACAGGCAACATCGTGGAGATAGATATTTATGGCACGAGGTGAAAGAAAAGTTTTTATCAAAGATAAAAAACATACCAGGCCATTCAACAACTTCTTTACTAAAACCATACCTGTTCAACAATGCACATAATCAGTGATAAAAATCAGAAATAATATTGCATAATTGAAAAGATTATGTAAATTTATCTATCACGCAAATGTTGGAATCAAAAGGTTCTATCATCAAGTTGTATCAAAAGGAAAGAATTCTTTATCAGGAACTTTAATGTGTATGATATTAACAGAAAAATTGTTCAGTAGCAATTTTGTTGGCTTTACACAAATTTTACAAGTCACATACAACAAGAAACACAAGTTTTTATTTTTAAATAAACAAATAAAGCCTTGGAGCCTCAGTAACTTGTAGGCCTTAAAATACATCATTTCGAAATTCCACACAACTTGAATCTAGCTTAGCAAATAAAAGACATGGAATATTTAAGTAACAAGGCCACAAAAATATTAATATGAAGCTGATCTGGTAAGTAATGTAAGAGATCTTCATTGAAACTAATTTCATTGAAAACAACTTTTGCATTCAGAATTCACTACTTACATCACAAGAGGAGATTGTGGCCTATCATGCCAAGTAGGAATGCCTGTTACTGGATCCTAAAATCACAAAAAAAAAGTGCCTCTGTGAGTTTAAAAGAATGAAGGTGCCCTATACTTCTGTGCGAGGGTATATATGTCTACAGCAACCTAACTCAGGTAGCACAGACTTATAGCCATATAAATTAGTTTTATTAAATGCAGTGACAAGTATAGGAAACATTAACAGTAAATGGACATGGACTCAGATGCAAGTCATCATTTCTCCATGATCCCCATTTTTCTGTGAAAAGAGGCCACATCCAATGAATCACATCCTTCCAGCAGACCTACAGGGAATCAAGATGAGAAAATGAAAATTTATATACAAGCTCTAGTTCCTGTTAGAAGATAGTACTAGTGCTTGAGCTTGTACAATAGTACTAGAAGATATTAGGGTTGTTAATAGTGAGCTTGAGCTTGTACGATAGTAATAGTGCTTGACCTAAAAAGTAGTATAAATAGGTCCATTATGTAGTTGAATTTATGTTTAGCATCTTATTATCAATCTCATAATACTCTAAACCCTAAAGTTTCAACAGTTCCCACCTTACTTTGACAGAAGCAGGTGAGAATAGAACTTTTTTATTTTTATTTTACACCATCACCATGGTTCCTCTTTTATAAAGGAAAATAAAAAATGTTAAGTAAGAAAAGATACAGAACCACATGAAGCAGCATCTTTCCAAACTGAAAACATTAGAATATAAAAAATGAAGAAATACCTTACCAGAAGGAGCTTCAATGAGGTATTTATACAAAAGAGGAAGTTCTCTTTGGAATTGGCTTTCAAATGTTGCAGGTGCGCTACACAGTAAATCAATGATCAAAATATGTTCAGAACGTAGCTTTGACAGCTGTAGTCATCAACTGGATTTTACATTTTACATTGAAATATCTTGAGAGAATCATTTTTTTATGGAAAACATGCTTTATTTTAGAGGCGAAAAATGGAAGACATAAAAAGCAGCTCATATGCCAGCCAAATGCAAGCAACTTACATACCGGCAAGTGCTTTTCTCTTGAACATGTGGATTCAGTTGTCTTTACCGACAAATTAGAATTGTATATTTTGTGCTTACGCAAGCACTCTAGCTAAAAGTTCACAAGTGAAACTAATAAATTATTCAAGATAACTTTCCCAACTGACAGCTATTGGGTACATTTTCTAATTTTCAAAATTTACATGTTCCATTATCAAGGAAAACTCAACTATATGAGTTTTAGGAGATTTTCATGAAAATTGATGCTCTTGTAAGAGTGTAATTGCCCACTACAAAAATAAGCATAGCTGTATCCAAATTCCAGAATGTTTGATAATACACGTGGATGAACTTAAGTACCTGTATGGAACAACATAAGGTGCAGCTACAATGCAACGGACACAAAAACTTTCTGCAAGGCTCCATCCTTCCTGAACCATCATGAAAAGCTCCTCAGTTGCCAGATCAATGAACCACTTGGAGGAATTTGGGATTGTTTATGTATGTACAGAAGCAAGTGGAACGCGTATATGCATAGTAGTTCAGAAATTTCATAAGTTCACAAGACTACTCAACTTTAAGTTATTTCTTGGAAATATATTACATTAGTGTTCTATCGGAACGTCTACTGCAAACTCTGCCACATCATATTTGCTTTCAGAAGACTGATGATTCTACTTTCTATTCGAGTGGTTTTAGGTGTGTCATTGTCTCCTTGAACACATACAAAGTTTTATACAAATTATTCTGCAATTCCCCATGCAGTGATTTTAAAATTTTAATAAATCAATTGCCTTTAACAATTCTTAGCTTGAATCAAACTACTATCCCCTAGTCATGTCAGAAACTTGTCAAAAAAGTTCATCTCGAATACCAAAGCAAAAAAATTTATCAAAATAAGATCACTGTCCAAGCTTGGGCCATCTCCAAATATCCTTTCAATTAAAGAATAGCATTCTCGTCTATGATATCTGGCAATTTTCCTTTTCTGCATTAAAAAGGATGACTCTGCTTTCCCTGATAAAATAGAAGATCGATCAGAACTATAGTTTCTCCCCTTATAATAGCACTCCGCATTTTATAAGTAGAACCAAGTAGATATTTTAAACCTTCAATATCATTATTCTGATCAGCAGAAAGAACTGGGGGTGATGAAATTGGGCAATACTCAACATGTTTTTCAGCCAAGTGAGGACTTAAGCTCTGCAAGGAAGTATTAACAAGAAATTTAAACAAAACAAAGTAGAAACATTGAATTTTAAAATGATTGTATACCAATATAAAGTCATTTCTTTGTGTCACTTGAAATCTTATGTATAACTTTTGGCAGAACAGTTAAGCAAACCATCATGTCTTCCAAGTAAAAGGAGAATGATGATAGGTGAATAAGTTCTCACAACCACAAGAATTCATTACTCTTTTCAAGTATTGTGACAAACGAAGCTCGATATAACACTAAAGGCGATGAAGGGTATCTATAGTGACAAAAAACTAATATGATGCTCTTATTGACTTGATGTAAATGTTTCTAATGCAAACCTCGTGTGCGGAATGAGTCATTAGAATCACATCGTATTGTTTCTGGTCAAAAGCAAAAGCTGCAGCAATGGCCTGCAATCAACAATAATGCAAACCAAACTAAACTACAAAATAAGGGCATTCAGCATTCTCATACCACATTAATTGTATATACAAGCTGTTAACATGATTGTTTATGTACTCGTGAATTTCATAAACAAATATATCGAGGAATACTAGTCCAAAAATTTACCAGATATCAAAAAGTGCATACATTTAATATATATAATTAGTTAAAAAAAAAAGTTTAGTTAAAATTAAGCAGTACAAAATTTTACTACTTTTGATTGCTTATAACGTAACAGAAGCCACTTTGGTAAACAACCCATGTCAAATTTTGACTTGGTGAGGAGATAGTTGAACAAAAGGCCTTAAATTTTTGCTCTTGATAATTCCCAAGAAATCACAAAACAGCAAGCAGTGAGTTTATTTATTTTATTCCCTTTTTGGCAACCAAAAACACAGAGAGAAGTAACGAAGAATAAGAAGAAGAAGAAGAAGCACTGACAGCAAGAGGGTAGACATCGCCTTTAGTGCCGAAGGCCATGAACACTGCTTTCGGTTTCCTTCTCTCCATTTTCCTCTCTATGTTGCAGCATTATTGAATTTTTCAATTTTTTATTTGATAATAAATAGCTTCTCTATTTTTTACGGGATAAATAACTTCTTATTATAAAGGGAAAACCTCATTTGTGATTTATCATTTGAGCACACGTGATTTTAAACTTATTAATTAGACTCATTATGTTAAGATATTTTGTCATTCAACTTTCTATGGTTTCAAATTTTCGCTTAGATCCGTTACAAAAAATTTTACTTAAATACCTTGTGGTTTAAAAAATAAATATTTAAAATAAATTTTCTCTCTTTTTTATTTTATATCCTTATGTAATGAATGCATTTATGGTTTAAAAAATATTTCATGTTATTTATTCTGAAATTAGTTTATAAATTATCTTAATTTTTTAAAATATATTTGAAATTAAAAAATATTATTTAAGACAAATTAAATATGTATTATCAAAATAAGATATTTACTTTCTTTAGATAATTTTATAGCGATGTCGGATAAAAAATAGATAAAATAAAATAATATTTGATTTGAATTTATTTTTTTGATAAAAATAAGTGATTTTTTTAAATAAAAAAAACTATTTTTTAAACCCTAAATACATTAGGTGAGTATATAAAATAAAATAAAAAAAGAGAATATTTATTTTAAATTTTATTTTTAAATTTTTTATTTTCGTAACCACAAGAAATTTAAGTGAAAATCTTTCTAACCACAAAGTATCTAAGTGAAAATTTGAAACCATGAGAGATTAAATGATAAATTTTTTAAGCATAATGAGTCTAAGTAATAAGTTTAAAACCACAAGAGGTCAAATGATAAATCACAAAATCACAATGGAAGAAAATGAAATTTTCCCTATTATAAAATAAGATAGGATATTGTTATTATCAATAATGTTATTAAAGTTATATTGATTATGTTGATCTAACGATTTTGATTTAACTTTTTTAAAAAAAAATTCTTTTTATATTTAATCTAAAATGGATAATCTTAATTATACAAAGATAAAATAAATATAATCGTTAGATCAAAATAATCGATTTAATGATAAAATAAACTGAGTGACATTGATAATGAAATTAATTGATATAACAATATCCTACATCTTATAAAATATGATTTATAATAAGTTTTACAAAACATTACTCTTGTTCAACCAAAAAATAAATATACAATAAAAATCAGAAGGATTGAGGCCTCAAAAATGAATTATCTCAGATCATCTGCCTGCGATGAATGGCGAATAGGGATGAGGAAAAAATTATTAGACTAAAAGGTTACCAAAGAATAAGATTTGATTTGTTTTTAATATTATTATATTAAATGACACATTAGCGGAATGTGGTTTAAGTATCACAATAAATTCAAATACATTATTAATTATAAATAATTTTGATAACTTTATTTATTTATATTTGAGATAAGATCTTTTGATATTGATATTAAATTAAAAAAATTGACACTAAATTTTAATCGTTAATTTATGTGAATCTAATAATTATAATCTATTGATCATACTTATTAACTAATTCTTAATTCTTAATAAATTATAATTGTTAAATTGACAAAAATAAATAGTTAAGGTTTGATGTTAAATTTTTTAATTTTATAGATTTAATATTTTGGGAAATGTACAGAAAAGTTTAATTAGTATCCGTAATACATCAATCAGAGCCCAAGAGAGAAAAGAGGCGCATGGCATGAGCATTAAGCATTCCTTTCTTTTTTTTCTTAAAAAGAAAAAATAATAATTTTTTGCTATTGCTGGCCTTCCAATAATATTATTTTTTTAATTTAAAACAAATGCGGTTTTTTATTTTTCCTTCAAAGGAATGGAAAGGTCGGTTTATTCATTCCTACACAATCCTTGTTAGTATTGGGCTTTGGTTTTTCAAAAAAAAAACAATATAAAGATCAGAGACAAATATTAATAATCGAAAATCATGAAGAATATATTGAGGATTACATATTTTAAAGATCATAAATGACAAATATTAAATATAATCTACCATTTTTTCTGTCTACTTTTGTCTGTAAAATTATTTGTATCTCATGTGTAATGTGTATCAATTGATTTAATTGATATAAAAGAGGCTTTATAGTAATTGACGTTTCGCATTAATGGTAATTGACGTTTTGACGTTTTGCATTATGGTAACGTTTTGCATTAATGGTAATTGACGGTTTGACGTTTCGCATTAATGAAAAGTTATAGGGAGTTATTTGAAACTCTGAAACTGGTGACATGGTTCAGTTATATAAAGAGAAAAATGGTGAGTCTCTGATAACGCTAATCTCTCAGAATTCTCTCCTTCATAGTCTGCCCATAAAAGTTGTATCAGATCCCTGTCATAGACGATGCAAGGAAAGCAGAGGGTACTTAAAGACCATTAGATTAGAATCTTAATTAATATTTATCTTTCTCTTCTCCTCTGTAGATTCTGATATAACGATATTAGAAAATAGTAGGCAAAATAGACAAAAAAAATAGTACGTAGAATAACATATCCCATAATTTAATTCTAATATAAATTTTAAAAGTTATAAAACAGAAAATAAATTGATTTAGAAATTCTTTAATATTTTAGTTGAGTAGAATACAAAAAGCCAAATAGAAATCCTTCATTAGCTTTTAGATTTTCAATTGCACCACCTTACTAATCTTAGTGCATTGACAGTATATTGGAAATTAAGAAAGCAAGGGTTTGGATTTCAAAAAAAAAAAAAAAAAAAAAGCAAGGGTTTGTGGTTTCGGTTCCTCCATTTACTGTTGTAACGAATACAGGAAATTTCAATATTATAACTCATCAGGATATCAACATGCTAAAAATGACTTGCGTTCCAATTTTTATTGGGTTGAGCTCCGTTGAAAACCTTTGAATTTTTAAAAGACACTTACTCTAATTTATTTGCAAGTATACGATCAATTAAAATGAGAGCAAAAAAGTACTATCAACAGTAAAATGAGACCAAAACTTCAAAATCAGGAAGAATTTGGCAGGATGAAGAACATGTACTCTCACTTTTCCACTTATCAGGCATGTTTTCCCTTGTTAATATGACATAGTCACCATTCATTTCATACAGCTTTGTTCTTAAGATTGGCTGAAGTGTACTTATCCATGAGCTGCATCAGTTCATTTTCTAACTCCTTCTCAAGTTCAACCTGCTCCTTCCACAGCTTCTTCTTCAGATCCAACTTTTTCTCTCCATAAACTTTCATGATACCATATCTTTCTTCATCGAATTGCATCATGTCCTCATCTCGGGACCTTACGAAGATAAATAAAAGAAATATTTGAGAATGCCGAAAGCCATGAGAATGATAATATGAAACAAATTCTGAGACATGCTTAAAATAATGCAAAGTAAGGGAAATATTAATTACCTATGCTTGTCTTCCTCTTCCTCGGAAGAATCTCCACAAAAGTGTTTCAACTTTTCTTTCTCTGCCTGCTGCAATTTCTCAAACTCATCTTCCTTAGCATCTATAGCTTGTTGAATGTTTTGGATCTGTTCCTGGACAAATTTCTCTAGTGCATTCATCTAGAAAACAAGATATATAAATGATCAGTCAGTCGTACAAGGATTTTATGCATCGTGATTTAGAAAGCTATCACCAGAATCAAGAAAGACAACTGAACTGAGTTGCAAATTGATACAATCAACCAATATCAAACAGAAGATAACTCAAGAACTGGAATTAACTATTGTACTTATCATACTTCTCATAAAGACAGCCACTATTTACAAGCATAAATGATTGCCCTTGAAAAAGAAAGCATGCTCACCAATTTTATACGTAAGGTGTCCGCTAAGACTTCGGATTTGATTTGTTCCTTAGCTATTTTGTTCTTAAGATACTCAATCTGTTTACTGTCATTATTGATGACCTTTATCATGCTCTCAACCGTCTCTTGATATGATCTCATTTCAAACTTCAAAAAGTTCGACTTTCCTAAATTACAGAAGTATCAGCAACATCCATACAAAATATTAAGTAAAATTATAAGGAGAATAACAATTGCAAAAAATAAAATAAAATAACACAGTACCCTCTCTTTTAGGAATAAATTTTTTGTATTCATGTAGTGCATACTACCCTACTAAAATGTTAAAAAACTGAACTTATAACATTAAAAATAAACAAGTGTGTAAAGTAAATACACGTAGATAAATCATATTTTTTTAAATTTTAGTTGTTGCAGCATTGAGTACTCAATGGTGCTAAATTTATCCCTATGTTAGAAAGAGGAGAAAGAAAAGTACGCCATCTTAGAATCATTAGACTACCCAGCTAGAAAAGAAATTTAGAATTGTCATCTTAGTTAATCATGAATTATTTCAATCCACAATCTTTCCACAAAAGATGAACTGGTGGACATAGAATATAGAAAGAGGCTAAGTGAGAAAAAAAAAAAAACCTCCGGAGTGCCTGTTGAAATTATCCAAATCTTCTCTAGAAGCCAAGCAGCCATATAGTTTGCGGTTCACTCCTGGTACAAATGGATGCCGACAACGATTCCAAGCACGATTCCAAGCCTCCCTACCTCTTCCCTGCTCTTCAAATTGCTCGTGGAGCCGCTTGGATTCTAAATAACCTGCTGTGGATGCCTCGAAAATCAAAACGCTCATCCCACGGTGCCCTTGAGGACCATATGAGTGTCGAGCCTTCAACGCAGCATAATCACTGAAGCAATCAAGGAGCTCTTGATTGCCCATTCCATTCCACTACAATTCAATTCAGTGACGTGAAACTACATAAGAATATAGAATAAAAGAAGATAACAAAATACTTAAAACAACTCTTCCACGACATATAAAAATTGGAAAAATAACTAAATAAATAAAACTCAGCAAGTAGCTGCAGATGCGATTTTATAAACAAATAGACTAAGACTATATATTTATATTTCTCCAAATTAAGAAACAAAGATAATATTCTTGTACCTTATTGCTTTCATCCTGCTCATATCTTGTATTCATGATGACAACCATTGGGGGCCAAACTATTTCATGATCCTTGACTTTCTTATCAAGACCTTCCCATTTACCATAGACTTCAGCATCCATTGTCAATGGAGCTCTTCTCCTGAAACATTCTTCCCCCAAAGTCTCAGCAAACAGTCGATGCAGCCTTACCCTCCTTGCTTTTATTGTCTTGGAATGATTCAAAAGTGGCTGCAACCCTTGGTACCAATCAATAGCACCAGGACCCCCTTGGCATGCTGGGCAATGCCACTGCCTCTCTTGTGAATTGATCTCCTCAATGGTCAGTTTATTTAAATTATCAAAGAATTGGTTAAACCACTTGCTCTTCTTGCACCCTTCATGGCTTTGCTCTCCAGTATCTGAGTCAGTGTCATCTAATGAAAAATCATCTTCACTATCAAACACAATATTAGATTCGCTGTCTCCAATTTCATCACCATTGCTTTCACAATGAGGCTCTGGGTTTCTTTCATCCTTGCATTGGTCATTTTTGCAGTTCTCTGAAGAAGTTATATCAACTTTAACATCATTGTTTTCACAATGGGGTTCTGGGATTCTTTCATCCTTGCATTGACCATTTTTGTAATCATTGGATGAAGTTATATGAACTCCAACAGAAGAATGTATTCCTTGCTCTTGTGGAGGCAACTTGCTATCATTCAAAATTCCTTTTCCACTACGGCTAGCCAGAGTCGGAGTTTCATTCAGAATTTCATTACCACTTCTAGCCAGAGTAGGCAACTTGCTGTCAGTTGGAATTCCATTACCACTGCAAGCCAAAGTCTTTTGAGAATTGACTTTGTCTAGTGTGTTGTTGCTTTTACCCACTCTATGCCATTTTGACAGCTTATTTGGATGTCTCCAGGCATTTGAACTAGAATTTTGGCCACCAGATAGTTCAGAATTCTGTTGGGTGTTGGCTACATTCCAATTCCAGTTCAAATGATTGAACTTAGGACCAGAGGGTTTACACACACTTCTCAACTCTGGAAAAGGATTGGTACTCTCATCCGACATGATTTAATTTTCAACACCTAAGCAATGTTCAGAAAAATTACTTCCAACAAAAGATGGTGATGGTAAAAACTGATTTGTAGCAATGAAAAAGATTGTTGGCTGCCTTATTCTAAATCAAGTTAATTCTGAAATTCATTAGTTCCATTGCAACCAGTAACACAGATATTAACTCTTGAAGTATAAATTGAAATAAAAATTGAAAACAGTAATAGGAAACAGTATAAAAATTCTATATTCATATAATTCATAAATAGAAAGGAAAAACATCATATCAATTCAGTGATAAAATAAAAACCTTTGAAGCAACTCAGATGGGGTGAAATCAGATGGCGCAACCAAGGAATTGATTTGCCTGAAAGAACCCAAATGAGAAACAGAGTCATTTATTTGTATAAATATCTATACTATAACCACACTATAATAGAGAACAAGACAATTGCATTTGAAGAGTTTTGCTTGTAATTGAAACGCAAAAAGACTTAAAAATCTACGTGTAATTTAAACGAGAAAGAGTTGAAAAAAGACATGCAATGCAGTAGGAGCACTTGATGCCCTGTTCCACAAGGGAACTGGAATTTTTCTTGAAAAGTTTGAGGAAGAAGACAATGAGAATAACAAAAATACTCAATCCTTTTTATAGTGAATAGAAAATTGTGTTAACATAAGGAAACAAATCATTAATAAAAAAAATAGAGAAATTAAAATTTAAAAATATCATTAGATGGTTTGTTTCATTAGATATCCCATTTAAGTACATTTAGGATTCCAGTTTTTTAAAATTTGAAATTATAATCGTATCATTATCTATATAATTTGTTATTTTATTTTCCGTTTCTGTCGCCTACAGCAGACTCGAAACACAGGCCATGAGCAGCTACAGTGGTTGATCATAATGGGCCCCACGAGATAAGGTCCACAACAAATACTTTAAATTCATTTTAATTTTTCTTTTTTCTTTCCAAGAAATCAAGATGAATATCCGAGTAAACTGATGAAATTTTAAATAGAAAAAAAAAATGATGATCTGATTTATTATTATTTGTGTATAATTTACTAAACTTATTCATCCTGTTTCAGGTTGAGCGTCTGGTGTGGTGATGCAGCTTATTTCAGATATGATTATCAAAACATGTATTTAGAAACATCAATATATTTTTTACGGAGATAATTTATTTGAATAAAACTAAACTATTTTATTATTTTTAAACCTATTGTGATGAATTATTTAAATATTAATTTCAAATAAAAATGTGAACTAAACCGAAATGTGGCATACTGTTAGACATTCATCTTATAATTATCTTGGTTTGGATTCATTTTCTGTACCAAAAGAATGTACTTGGATTTTTTTTTAGGGCTTTGATTATGAGAATTATTTTTTTATGTTGTAACTCAACTAGTAATGGGTTATATACTTATTAAAAAAATTATAAATAAATCGAAGGGTCACGACCTGAGAAAATATATTTCATGTTACATAAGAAGTGTTTTTTCCTTCTTTATAATGTTTCTTTTTTATGATGATGACCATGGACCTAGATTTTTATAATGGCATATCTTTGTCATAAATGTGAAATTAAATTTGTGATTTGAATTTCAAATTTTGGTTTATACATTATTCTCCATAATTAAAAAATTATTTTGGGAAGTTGAATTTGTAATTTAAAATTTGGTGTGTAGATGATTAGGAGTTATTCATCATAATTAAAAGTTATTATGAAAATAATTAAGTTCTTTTACACGGTTGTAATTACAAATTCAATTTTATATTTATGATAAAGATATGCCATCCAATACCTAAATATGTCATTTAATATGCAACCTGGTAAGACAGTGCAAAATGTAAAATCAAATTTGAAATTTGAAATATTAATTTTGGTTTATACATTATTCTCCACAGTTAAAAATTATTTTAGGAAGTTGAATTTGTAATTTAAAAATTAAAATTTGGTGTGTACATAATTAGAAGTTATTCATCATAGTTAAATGGTATTATGAAAATAATTAAATTCCTTTAGACGGTTGTAATTAATTACAAATTCAATTTTAATTTATAAGAAATATAATGAAATTCAATACTTAAATATGTCATTGATATGCCACTTGGCAGTGCAAAATGCTGCGAAGCCATGTTGATTAGTGTTTTTTATATTGTAAGAAATAATTTTATTTTTTATATATATAAAATAAGCGAGATTTATATAAAAAAAAGTAAAAAAGATAATAATAAATACAATATACTTTTATATATGTATAAAAAATAAAATTTTACAGGCTTGCATCAGTTATCGGGGCACTTGTTCTCTCTTTTTCTTCTGACTGTCAGAAGCTCGTACACGTGGAATGTATCATAGAAACTTTGTTAGCATTCTTCTCTAAGAAAGAGTCTAGAAAATGTGTTATTTAATGACATTTAAAAGGATTTTTGACCATAATAATAACAATAATAGTAATAATTAAAAAAAAAGTTCGTTTTTTTTTACAATTATCTGCAGGAAGTCCAATACGATGTCGTTTTAGGACGGATATCATGGTGTTTTTGTAATTTTAATTTATTTCAAGGTTATTATAGTTTTTATAATTATAATTTTTTAATATTTCAATATCAAAACGACGTCATTTTGAGAGTAAATACAGATAATTTATCTGCAGAAATATTTTTTGTTAAAAAAATTAAGAGGGATGATTTTATTTTTTTGGAATATTAGAGGAATGGAATTATTTATCCATTTATTAAAGTGTACCACATTATGGCTTAATATAATCGGATTATCATATGCATGTTAGTTAAAATTTCAATTTAAATCTATAATTTTATGATTTTATGATTTTTTTTAATCAAAATAATTTCATCAAAATTCAAAACGTTTTTACGTTTCTACGATTTTTTATGATTTATTTTATGTTAAAATTTTATATTTTATGATTTTTTATCCTCCTTTCGATTTTAGGTAAAATCTCGATTTTTTTTATTTTTTATTTTTGGTAATCTAATCTCGATTTTAATTACTATGATCACATGACTCAATTACTATGATCACATGACTCACTCAATCATGTTAGACCTTGCGTGATCACCATGTAGTGCCATATAGTAGTAATACTTTAGCTGTCCTGTTCGAATTTCACTCCCTCTCTCCTTTAGATCACTTTGATCAACATGATAGAGTAGGAATGAATAAGAGATAAAACCGGATTAGAGTAGAAAAAAATATGAACATGATAAGCTTATATCATATTTTGTGTTTGATTTACAGTAAATATGACAATATTATCATATTTGGTATTTAAGTCGTATCACATGGTGTTGATATATGATATAAATAAACAAAAATGTCATTTTAAACATAATTTCATATAATTTTTAAAATTTATTTTTTAAACTTTTTTTAATTATATACACATTAGTTCTTATTTTAAAATATTAAAAAAAAAAAATTGGATGTCATAATTTAAAATAAAACATATTACAGCATATAAATAACTTCCAAACTTTTTCAAAATAAATTAATTATATCCTCACCAAATAAATTTTTAAAAATTAAGTTTTAAATTAATTGTTAATATTGATGGTTAGTGGTGGCGGTTGGTACGGTAGGTGACAAGTAGGGGTGACAGTTAAATGATGGTGGTTGTGGTTGTAGGGCTCGATGGTGATGGCACCGGTAAAAGGCCGGTGACAACTATGGTAGCTGACTGATGGTGACAACAATGATGATTAATGGTGGCGATGATGGTTAATTGTGGCAATGATGATTGGTGTCTGATGGTTGAGGGTGGCTATGGCTAGTTGTAGTGGCCAATGGCAATGGCAGCAATGGTGATGGTTGGTGCGGTGGTGACACGTGAAGGTGACTAGTGGCGACAACGTTGGCGATAATAAGTGGTAATTGTATTGGTGACCGATAGAGGTATTTAATAATTAGCATAATAAATGATAATTAGTATTTAATTAGCATAATAAGATGATAATTACTATTTTTATTAACATTGAATTTATTTATTTAAATAATAACACCATAAATAATTTTTGTTTATCTCACATTTGGAATCCTATAAATTTAAAAGTATCATATTTAATAATAATAATAATAATAATAATAATAATTTAATTTTTTTCTATTGTCCAAAAAATTAAAATATTTGATAAAACAATACAATTGAATGAATTTTTTTCTCTTTGAATATATTGAAAATAAAGCATAGAAAGATATATTGATTAACAGAAAAAAAAAATCAGAATCATAACGGAAGAATTGTAATGTTTCATAGATAACTTTACCATTTAAGCAATTATAAATTATGCATGGTATCCTCATACAACTTAAATGATATTAATTATTCATCAATAAAAGGAGGGGCGGTGAGAGTTAAGTTCATAACAGAAGAATTGTGATGTTTAGTTTTAAGAAACTCTACAATATTAATTAATGCATTTTGATTTTTTTATATTGCATGAGAATTATTTTTTTGACTCAATTAATGGTGGATCTAAAACTTATTTAAAAAATAAATTTTGTACACAAATCGAAGAGTCACTATATGAAAAAATATTTCTCATATAATATGAAAAGTGTTTTCTCTTAATTAATTATCAATAAAAGAAGGGACAGTGATAATTAAGTTTATAACGGGCTAACAACTTAGTTACAAAGACACTTTATTATGTAAAGAATTAATTCAATCCAATAATTCAGGTTGATGTGTAAATGTCATATTAATAATTTTATATTATATTTTTTTAACCACCTTAATAAAGAAAAACATTTTTTTATGTGTACGAAATTGTAACGCTTGTAAGGCTACTCACCAAACTTCCCTAGGAGATGAAAATACCATTCAAATAAGGTAGCTTTTTGAAAATTGTCATTTTCGAAAACATAAATAGCCATGCAGTAAGTTGGATACAAATTAATTAACATTTGTAGAGAAGCTAGATAGGGTTGTATTAAAAAAAAAAAAAAAAGCTAGATAGGGAAGAAAGAGAGAGAAGAAAAAGAGCAAGAGAAGTTGTGTAAGTAAACAGAGGAAGGTTCACCAGGACAAACACACTGAGGTATGAAAATTTTGGAATTTATGTATTCATGTAATTATAAGTGTGGACTTTTCCTTTCTCCATCCCATTATTTGCCGTTCGCATTCAGCTCTGTCGGGTAATTTTTTGTAGTTTTAGCTGTTGCTTTCAACTTTTGGGTCATGATGATTGATGGTCTTCTAATAACTCAAATTTCGATAATTACTGGATTTGCGGAACTGGTAACCCATGGTGAAGGACGGTCCATGTTATGTTTGCTTTGCGAAGTTAATTGTAAGTCCTCTCTTCTTCTTGCTTTTTGGGAATTTGGTTTGATTTATTTTATAACTTTTGCTTCAAAACATTGTCAGTTTACTAATCAAATAAAGTGAATTGGCTCAATATATTGTTGCATTCTATCTTAAAGATATTAAATTTATATTTATTAAAAATGATATAATAAAATTAACACGAAAGAATAAATTTATGAATTCGCTCAACATGAATTGGTGCCTTTGATAAAGGCGTTTTACACTTTTACTGGCATAATGAAAAAAAATTATATAGGGAATATAAACTATTTATAAGAAGAACAAAAATAAAAAGAGACATCAATTAATACAAAATCAAATTATTAATGATTTGGCATAATGAGATTAATTAAAATTATCAATAAATATGATTTCCTAAAATAATATGATTACGAGTCATTAATAATTATTGTCACAAATTTTGTTCGAATGAGTTGATATTGTTACTTACTTCTAGATAAATGAAACAAAAAAATATTTTCTGTATTTACTGCAGATAAGTTATTTGTATTTATTCACAAAATTACGTGATTTTGGGATTGAAATATTAAAAAATTATAATTATAAAGACTATAATAATCCTAAAATAAATTAAAATTATAAAAATACCATAATTTTCACCTCAAAACAAAGTCATAACAGGCTTGCTGCAGAAAAAATGAACCCTAAATGAAATGCTCTTGTCACAATTAAATTCTTTATCTGGAGGCTACCAAAAAAATATATTTCTATTTTTTTTTTTTTTTTTTTTTTTAGTATAACAGAAATAGAAATATTGTTATCAAAAAAAAAAAAAAATAGAAATATAATATAAATAATTTTTTAATATTATTGGAATAAAACAGTGTGTTAAACAATAATAATATATTAATATTAAGTATAACATATACTATTATATAAATATAGGATAAGTTATTATATCTACCTTTTTTTATACTTACTCATCTCTAACACCATTGAATTAAAATCTCAAGAGAAAAAGTGAAAATTAGTCAAGATTCTAATCTAATGATATTAGGGATGAGTAAATAAAGTAGGCATAAAAAAAGTAAGTAAAATATCATATATATATATATATATATATATATATATATATATATATAACATATAAATCATATAAAAAAATAACATTATAATAATGGAAAATATAATTATAATGTTATTGGAAGAGAAAGAGTGTTTCCTGTTCTTAACTCTATTTTTTCTCTTTAAATTCATGGTCTCACCTAAAATTGTGTCAGCAGGAATTTGATCTTCTAACATGAAATTCACAACCCCCATAAATAATATAATAAATGTAAATTTATATACGTAAATTTAAATAATATAATAGTTCATATAAATATAAAAAAAATAAGAACTATAAAAATTTTATTAATAATTTTATCGGTCTTATTGAATTTGAGCCTTTGGATGGGTCTTGCACAAGCTGTCCTTTTGGTGTTGTTATGATCTGTAAAGTGTGAGTATAATCAGTACTCATATATGAACCAATAACTGTAATACGTGGGTATCGAATGCTCATGTAAAGAGTAATAAAGATTTATAATGATTATGAATATATTGCCTTACAACTAGCGTTTGAAAGGTTCCTACGTTTTCTTAGCCTTACGGTAATTTGTGCCTAAAGTTGATAATAAATTTTGATTAATGTAATTTATTTCCTTATTTTTAAAATATTTTTTATTTATAAAAGAATTAATCATTCACAAATTAATTATTTTACAAGAATGTATGATTCTATTTACTGGGTGTCGATATGAAAAATACACTATTTTTTTTAATATATCAATCTTAATTATTTTTTTGAGATGAGTCACTCTCTCCAATATAATCTCACAAATTTCAACTTATTAAACATGCTAGGAGACTATTTTCAAATCAGAATTTAATGACATTTAAAATTATTCAGTTCTTCTCATAAATCCACACCTTCTAAACCAGTAGGAGAGGACCAGCGGTCTTAATACCTTATTAATTGTCATTGAATTGGAGCTATTAACAAATTAAAACATTTCAAAATTTAAATAACTAACCGTATATATGTATAGTGTTCAGTGATTTGCAGGCATAGGATCACGTATTTGGTCCGCGCGTGAAGCTACTCTCTACACTCATCCCCATCCCGCGGAGAGTGACGTTGCAACGATATCACACCAACATGCCTTTTTTCTCTGCGCAGTTTTTTTCGGTGATCCAATCTGATCTGATCTGAGCGTGTGTATCGGCATGGATTCAGCATTTGCAAGATCCATGTTATTCGCATCTACAGTGGTATACCTGTACCTGTTGATATTATCTTCCATCGTAGTTACTACCTCTGCTTCCGTCCACATCTACGATCATGAACCTTTCAAAGAAGTCGGCAATGCTTACCTGCTCTCCGGTGGAAGCGAAGGCATTGTCGCTCCCGAACCTAACTCCATCGGCCTTGGCCGTTCTTACATCAGGTAATCTCTCTATCTCTATGTTCGCGATTTGGTTGAAGTTGAACTGACAGTGTAATGTAAGTTAGATTCGAGCTACAACGAGTGTTAGATTCTTTGCAATTGTTTTATTTTGATTGAGATTAGTACCGTAAATGTAAATCCGTGGCTTACTTATGCCTGATTTCGTGAATTTCTATGAATTTCTCTTTTTGAAACTACGCAAATTGATGGACTAGAGGCTATAGCTAAATTGAGGGCTAAGGCAAAATAGTCTTACTCATTTTTTCATCCTCTAGCTTCCGGACTAGCTAATTAATCTCTGAGAAGTTAGAATCTTAGATGCATCATTTATGAATGACGCTGCCAAGATAAGATTTGTGCTGGTAGTTAGGTTAAGGGACTAATAAAGCATGAAAGATAAGCATTGGTGAGGAAATCCAAAATTGAAGCATGAAAAATAAGTGTGTCTTTAGTATTCTTTAATCGTTTATATCTCTTAACTCATCTGAGTTATGTGCCAAAAATAACAGAAAACACTGACTTTTTCTTTTGGGGGATAGATTTGAGAATATTACCTTTTGGAGAAGCAAAGCTGCAGCCAAGGAACGCAGTACCGCACCAATACACATTATAATTTTTGAGGCTGCTGATCGTAATGATATAGGTGGTTCTGCTTATGGTGGACAACGGGCAATCTGTTGCACCCCTGATTTAGCCAAAATGGAAGGTTGTAAGCAAGGAGAGGTTATTAGGAGACCTTCTGCAACAGACATTAATTGGCCGGTCATTTTAGATGTATATTTCAAGGGGAAATACCTAACTACAACTCTAAATTCTAAGGATGTTGCCATCTCAAAGACTGGAATGTATAACTTGTTTTTTGTAGCTTGTGACCCCAAGCTCAAGGAAATGGTAATGAGCGGGAAGACGATCTGGAAAAACCCCGATGGATACTTACCTGGTAGGATGGCCCCGTTGAAGAAGTTCTATGTATTTATGGCACTGGCTTATGTCTGCCTAAGCATCGTTTGGTTTCTTCAGTATGTGAGGTTTTGGAATGATGTACTGCAACTTCAGCACTGTATCACAGCTGTCATTGCCCTTGGATTGTTTGAGATGATTCTCTGGTATTTTGAGTATGTGAATTTCAACGATACTGGTATGAGGCCCGTTGTGGTCACAACATGGGTTGTCACTGTTGGGACTATAAGAAAAACGATATCACGACTTCTTATTCTCTCTGTTTCAATGGGTTATGGTGTTGTGCGACCCACTCTTGGAGGTCTTACATCAAAGGTTCTTTTGCTTGGAATAACTTACTTTCTAGCATCAGAGTTGCTGAATATTACTGAATATGTGGGGACCATCAATGATGTATCAGGAAGGGCAAGGCTCCTTCTAGTTCTTCCTGATGCTTTCTTGGATGCATTTTTGATATTATGGATTTTTACATCTCTTTCAAGAACCCTGGAACAGTTACAGGTATCCTTGCCTCAAGTTCCGTTTATTTTGCAGCAACCTACCTCTATACTTCTCTGTTTTGACTTTCTTACTATCTTGTTTTTTCAAAATGTTTGATTTTATTTATTTATTTTTTGGATCTTCCTTGTCAGGCCAAACGGAGTTCTGTTAAGCTGGATATATATAGGAAATTCTCAAATGCATTAGCAGTAACGGTGATTGCATCAGTTGCTTGGATAGGATATGAGGTAAGGCTTATTATCAATTTATTTTATCGTGTACAAAATAACATGGACTTCTAGTAATTAATAACTGAAATTAATGTTTTATCCACACAAAGCCCAATATGGTTTTCATGTTTCATTGTTTGGATATTGCATAGTTGCAAATGAAGAGAAGAAAACAAAAAAAAGTGTCTGATCCTGACTTTAATTTACAAGCCCTTTTCAAGCTTTCTTTATTTTCTATCCCTCGCCTTTGCATTTAGGTACTGGACCTATCCATTTGTATTTCCTATTCCTAACAAGTAGTGAAGTACTGAGTCTGGGTCCGGTATGAGGTGACCGGGAAAAGAAAGTAGTAGTGTGATTCAGCTGGAGAAGAGAGAAACGAGGGAGAATACTCAGAATAGCTTACACGAAGGAGCTGAAATACCACAAAACACACTCTGTTGGCCGTGTATGTCCCAGTTAAGAGCTCTTAATCCTCTGAAATCAGCATGTCTTTTGTCCTAGCTCCCCTCATGCTTGGCAATTGGAAACTCCTACAGACTTGATGGAATGGCTTTGTGTGTGTGTTTCTTCTGTTTCCTAAGTTTAAAATTAAGCTTGGTAGATTTTAATATTCCTTTTAATTCCATTCCCACTGGTTGTAAGTTTGTTCAAACAGTTGTGGCTGTCTTTTTATCTGAAAATCAAAGAGACTGGTAATTCATCCTGCCTGTACTTCATCCCACATCAACCAGAGGTGGGAGCATTTGTAAAGCATCATTAAGGCGTTCCGCCTTGGTGCATGCAAGGCCTCAACTCAGCATCTTGGTGGATGCCTGAAATGCTTTAGATAATGCTGATCCCTATGTATACAGGAATTTTTGCGGTGCTTTTCTTGATGACCATAGCATACATTTCATCTATATATTTGCAAATTGCAAGAGAGAAATAGGTTCTTACGTTTTGTGTCCTGTCTGTATAGCATTTTGATTATGTAGAAAATTAGAATTCAAACATGTTTCCGTTTTTATTTCCTATTAATTAGGATTGATTATGATTGATTAGGATTGATTATGATTGATTAGGATTAATTGTGATTGATTAGAATTGATTGTGATTAGGATTGTGATAGGATTGATTAGTCATCGCTTAGTCATTCTTAGCGATTCTTTCTTGTATAAATACTCACTCATGTAATTTATTCAATATCAATATACAAAAACTTCTTTTCAATATGGTATCAAAGCGGGTTCGTTCCTACCCTAATTCAAATCTGAAATAACCATCCAAACACTTCCATCACCGTCAAACACCTCCTAAACACCGCCTTGAATCTGTCCAACACAGAAACCTAGTTTACTGACCTTCGATCAAAAAAGTGAGGTGACCATTCGACTCAGAAGGATCCGACGAGTCGACCGCCGCTGGACCCATCGCCGTCAGCCGCTGCACGCGCCACCACGCGCCGCCTTCCAGACGTTTTTTTTCCGTCGCGACTTGCACAGACCTTCTCGCCGGCTTCTCCCCTTCCTGTTCCAGAGGTCAGATCAAAAGTTTACAAAACTTGATTTTTCATCAACGGTCAACCCTTCTCTTTTTATTCATGGCTTCCTCAAAACACTCTTTTTATTACCACGAGCAACCTCCTAAGGCCACTAGTCATGTGGTCCAGCAAGGTACAACTTTCCATGTTGATAGTCAAAATCATTGGATCCTTGATTCTGGAGCCTCTGATCATATGACAGGTAATCTTGGCTTGTTTTGTTCATACACTCCATATTCTGAACCTTCTCGGGTCAAGATCGCCGATGGCAGTTTTTCCCAGATTGCGGGACACGGAACCATTAAACTTTCTGAGCTGATTACTTTGACATCAGTTCTTTATGTTCCTTCTCTGACTTGTAATCTCATTTCCATTAGCAAGCTCACCTCTGAGTTGCATTGCTTTGCTAAATTCTTTCCACATGGTTGTGTTTTTCAGGAACAGGACTCGGAGAGGATGATTGGCAGTGCTAGAGAGGATGGTGGACTTTACTACTTTGAGGAGGATGTGACTCATGAAGCTGTTTTCGTAGAAAAAAACTCTATGTTTCCTTTTGATTCATGTAATGATGTTATGCTGTGGCATCGTAGGCTAGGCCATCCAAATTTTATTTATCTTCAGAAGTTGTTGCCAAACTTATTTATTAATAAAAGTCCAAGTTTGTTTTCTTGTGATATTTGTCAACTTGCCAAGCATACTCGTGCTCATTATCCTTCTAAAGTTCACCATGACTCTTCCCCATTTTCCTTAATTCATAGCGACATATGGGGTCCAGCCCGTGTTAAAAATATTTCAGGTACTCGATGGTTCATTACTTTCATTGATGACCATTCTCGAGTTTGTTGGGTGTATCTTCTAAAGGATAAGTCCGATGCTGCATCCGTGTTTAAAAAATTTCATGCCATGGTTCAAACCCAATTCCAAGTTGCTATACAAATTCTTCGTACAGATAATGGCAAAGAGTATTTTAACTCTATTCTTGGAGAATATCTTTCCCAACATGGCATCTTTCACCAAAGCTCGTGTCCTGACACACCCCAACAAAACGGAGTTGCGGAAAGAAAAAACCGACATCTCCTTGAAGTTGCTCGGGCTCTTATGTTTACCACGAGTGTTCCTAAATATCTTTGGGGAGAGGCAGTTCTCACTGCCTCGTATCTGATAAATCGAATGCCATCTCGCATTCTGAAATTTCAGTCTCCTCTTTCTAGTCTTGTTCGTATCTTCCCTTCCTTCCGAGGTGTCTCCTCCTTACCTCTCAAGTTATTTGGTTGTGTTGTATTTGTCCATATTCCCTCCCATCAACGGTCTAAGCTTGATCCTAAGTCTCTCCAGTGTGTCTTTATTGGTTATTCTCCTACTCAACGTGGCTATAAGTGTTATTCACCCTCTCTTCGTAAGGTCTTTGTCTCTATGGATGTCACTTTTTCTGAGAATGACCCTTTCTTCCCCTCGACTTCTCTTCAGGGGGAGTCTATAGGAGTAGATGAAGATCAGTCATGGGAACCTATTAATGCCACAGTATTACCTCTACTTTTGGAAACAGGGGGAGCTACAGAATCCTCACCATCAGGAGCCTCCTCAAAATGGGGACAAGTTTATAGCAGGCGAAAGCCTCCTCAAAGTGTGAATAACCCAGAGCCTCTACACTGCCAGGATTCTGAACCATGTTCTAGTTCCAGCACCCCAATACTTGAGTGTCATGGTGAAAATGATCTACACTTGCCCATTGCTCTCAGAAAAGGTACTCGATCTTGTACTACTCATCCTATTTCTAATCATATTTCATATGGAAAGTTGTCCCCAGGGTTTCGTGCTTTCAATACTATGTTGGATAGTACAAAGATACCGAGAAATATACATGAGGCTCTCAATGATAAAAAATGGAGGGATGCTGTCTTTGAAGAAATGAATGCTTTAGAAAGAAATGGAACTTGGGAGATAGTGACCCTACCCAAAGGAAAAAAGGCAGTAGGATGCAAATGGGTGTTTACAATAAAATTCAATGCAGATAATAGCATCAACAGATACAAGGCAAGATTGGTTGCAAAGGGTTTCACTCAGACTCATGGGATAGATTATCATGAGACTTTTGCTCCGGTTGCTAAAGTCAATACCATCCGAGTTCTCTTATCTCTTGCTGCCAATCTAGATTGGCCTCTGCAACAGTTAGATGTGAAGAATGCATTCCTAAATGGTGACTTACATGAAGAAGTCTATATGGATCCTCCACCTGGTTTTGAAAGGGGAAATGAATCAGTGTGTAAACTAAAAAAGTCTCTATATGGATTGAAACAGTCTCCCAGAGAATGGTTCGACAAATTCACACAAGCAGTCAAAAGAAGAGGCTTCATTCAAGCACAGACTGATCATACTCTCTTCCACAAACACTCTAAGGATGGTAAAATTGCTATTCTTATTGTATATGTAGATGATATAATTCTTACAGGTGATGATATTGAGGAATTGAACACCTTGAAGAAATTTCTAGCAGCTCAATTTGAACTCAAAGACCTTGGCACTCTCAAATATTTCCTTGGTATGGAAGTTGCTAGGAGCAAAACAGGCATCACTCTAACACAAAAGAAATATGTTCTAGATCTTTTGTTGGAAACAGGAATGTTAGGGTGTAAACCTGCTGAGACACCTGTGGAACCTAATACCAAGTTAGGTATTGAAGATGGGAATGAGGTGGATAAAGAACAATATCAGCGATTGGTTGGTAAACTAATCTACTTATCTCATACGCGTCCTGACATTGCCTTTGCGGTGAGTATGATTAGTCAATTCATGCACTCACCCAAGGAGAAGCATCTTAGTGCAGTCTATAGGGTGCTTAGATACCTCAAGAATACTCCAGGAAGAGGATTATTCTTTAAAAAGGGGTATAAAAGGACAATTGAAATCTACACTGATGCAGATTGGGCAGGCTCATCAGTAGACAGAAGATCTACCTCAGGCTATTGCACCTATGTGTGGGGAAATCTTGTTACTTGGAGAAGCAAAAAGCAAACAGTGGTTGCAAGAAGTAGTGCTGAAGCAGAATTTCGAGCTTTAGCTCATGGAGTTTGTGAAGGAATCTGGTTGAGAAGACTTCTTCAAGAGTTGAAGATTTCATATTCCCTACCAATAAAACTATATTGTGACAACAAGGCAGCTGTTAGCATTGCTCAAAATCCTGTGCATCATGATCGAACAAAGCACGTGGAAGTTGATCGTCACTTCATCAAAGAAAAATTAGATGATGGAAGTGTGCATTTGATATATGTTCCAACCAAAGAGCAAACGGCAGATGTCCTTACCAAGGGCCTACACCGTCCAGCATTCGAAGACTTGATTGGCAAGTTGGGAATGATCAATATTTACCTCCCAACTTGAGGGGGAGTGTAGAAAATTAGAATTCAAACATGTTTCCGTTTTTATTTCCTATTAATTAGGATTGATTATGATTGATTAGGATTGATTATGATTGATTAGGATTAATTGTGATTGATTAGAATTGATTGTGATTAGGATTGTGATAGGATTGATTAGTCATCGCTTAGTCATTCTTAGCGATTCTTTCTTGTATAAATACTCACTCATGTAATTTATTCAATATCAATATACAAAAACTTCTTTTCAATAGATTAATATCTCTTTAGAGCTTATGCGTATCTATACATGTTTTGCTTGCATTGTAGAACTGCTAGCATTTGGGACTAAACCAATTTTTAATAAGAAATCTCCTTATAAAATAGCACTGTTATCATCGATTACTTTTTCTTTGGGTAATTATCTAGACCAATAGAGGTTTGGTCATGTGAGAAACAGTCAATGGGAAAATGGATTCAGTGGAAGATTAGTTTGTTTGATTATAAAAGGGAGAGAAAAATCTAAGAAAACATTAGGAGAAATAATCAACAAGAACTTTCTATAAATGGTTTTACTAAATTTTGGTGTTTGATAGAGCCCAATGGCATTGATACATGTAGCTGACCTCCCACCTAAGGGAATGAGGCTTGTTATTGTTGTTGTCGTTGAAATATCAAGAAAACCAATCCTTAGTAGAGAAGAAGCAGTGTAAAGATCAATATTTAAGGATCACTAACGCGTCACAAACTAAATTTGCACTAATCAACCAACTAAACAAGAGAAAAATGCATGATGAAGGGAGACTGACCACTAGAAGAGCACATTCATTAGAAGTAAAATCAATCTAATGGTCTAACAAATTCAGCGGTGACATTCTTCGCTTTTTGAACACAGTTGAAAGGAACATTCTAGGGGTGTATCTATCCTTGGTTGTAATTGTGTTTGGCTTCAATTTATTAATATGTTTTCCATTTTTTGTTACAGAATTTTCTTATCTCTATTTAGCGATATATTGTTGTGAATTGTTTTCTTTATGGAAATCTACTGCCACGTAGCATTCATCTTTCAATTTGTTATCTGGGTTGCAATCACGACTGCTAATTCTGCATCTACAGGTATACTTCAAAGCTACAGATCCTTTCAATGAGCGCTGGCAGAGTGCTTGGATCATCACCGCTTTCTGGGACATTCTTGCATTTGCATTACTCTGCGTTATATGCTATCTCTGGGCCCCATCCCAAACCTCTCAAAGGTGAATTATATTTTTTAAGTCGTTAACTTGACTCTCTATTTTAGTAAATATTAACATGACTTTTCCTTCCGAACATTTATCATTGGTTATATTACTATTTTGAAATGAATCTCGTTGATAAGTAGGCTACGAGCTTAAAATTACGATTCCTCTGATGGGATTGTCTTGTCCTGTGAGGAAACCTTTATTATAAAGAAAAATTGCATCAACTTTGCAATATTTCGAGTTTATTCTTTAGGGTTGGATGGGTTAGGTATATTATGGTGTTTAGTTGCAATATATGACGTGTCTGGCAACTGGCTACCAGTTGAACTTTTTGCTAGCTTCATCTGTTAAGAACTATTTATTTATATTTATGCCATACTAATGTTGCTGTAATGTAGGGTGACTAATTGTAGTAGTGAGACAGTGAAAAAAAAATAGCATGCCATTTCATGTTGCAATGTCTGATTCAAATAGCTTAGAAAAGATTCTCGCTTCTTGTCTTTGATTTACCTCTGCAAACTATGCACAGGTATGCATATTCGGGGGAAGTTGGAGAAGAATCTGATGATGAAGAAGCTATGTCTTTAACTAAGGGAAAGCACGAAGGTCAAGGTGAAGTAAGTTTAGTCAGGCAAGAGAAGAATACCGGAACTGATGCATCTTTTGATCAAGAAGACGAGTCAGAAGAGGATAAAAGGGAATAAGCTCTTAGCAGTTTTCTTTTGCTACACTAATGCTGTTTTCGCAACTGGGTTTGAAGTCTTAGACTTGTGCCACAACCCTTCTCAAGAGGTGTTGTAAAATTTTGTTCATTTGTACCGGAATACACAGCTTCATATTCTTTGTTTTAGAATACTATATGTTTTATCATGTATTTAATTAGTGTATAACAAGTATTGCACATGCTCATGATTAAAATTGGCCTTTCTTACCCTAACACTTTTGGACTTGAAAATCTCCTTGATTTTTGGATCAAGTATGTCCGTATAATTAGAAGAACAGAGAAATAAGGCTATAATGTATCATGAGTCACGATAATATCATGGTCAAATTTTTTATTTGTTATTTTTGGTTATTTTTTACTAGTCACTGTTTTTTAGTGATACAATGGGAAAAATTTTCAGTAGTTACTAATGTAGTACGTACTCCTCCCACTCAAATTAGAAACACTTGATTCACTTAATTGCATTTATTTCATTCGCTTCATTTTTAGTATCACCTGAATCCATATCTTCTAATTTGAGCAAATACTACATGACCGAAAATTTACTCGACACAAGGGCTACAGAGAGAGGTTTATAACTTTAACCTCCTGGAAATTAACATAACCCTCATTATAAGCACCTTTTTAGTAATTAGCATATAACAATAATTTTTTGCATACAATGTGAGCAGTGTGATATTTTGTCACACTTCAACTTAAGGTGAAACTCTCCCACCTAAAAGTAAGTGTTTAGATTAGTTTATTTTATATTTAAAATATTTTATAATCAGAAATCTATTAATTTTTTATTTTAATGTTAATCAAAACATACTGAAATATGAACATATTAAATTTATTTTTTTAATGAATAGCATATTCGTTAAAAATATATATATATATATATATATATATATATATATATATATATAAATATATATATCCGGTTGGGTTGTTTTGGTGTCCTTTGTGGGATTACAAATTATTAGAAGAAAATAAATTGTTGTTAAATACAAGGTAATATACAATATAGTTATTAAGTTGAAATTTATTTATCCCAGCTCATAAAATATATATCCGGTTGGGTTGTTTTGGTGTCCTCTGTGGGATTACAATATTAGAAGAAAGTAAATTGTTGTTAAATACAATATAGTTATTAAGTTGAAATTTATTTATCACAGCGCATAAAATATAACAAATTATGATATACATTCGTTTGCACACAGTTTCGCGTTCATATAAATTTATATGATTTGTCTTTTTTTTTTAATACACATATGATCTGTCTTTTGTTTAACAAAAAATTAATGCATTATCCATGCGATGCATGGAAGAAAAAAAATTAAATTTTTTTTTGGCAATTATTGTTGGTTAATTATTAAAAAAAAGAACCGTGTCAATATTTTGTGTTATTTTGGGAGTTACCACACTCACATAGAATTTTATAACTATCCACCATAAACAAAACTTTACAATTAAAAAACATCAATTATAATACATATCAAAAATAGTTATGTACTCTATAATTAATTATTTTCATATACAGCAATGTATACAGTAGCAAAAGTGATGAAATATAAATTGTCCTACCAAAAAAAAATCAAAAAATGAGAAAAAATTCTTGGACTCAATACTATCCAAAACAATTATTACCAATGCGCTCCATTAATAATAAGATATCTTCATATACAATTAAATAAAGTATGAAATCACAATCATTTATTAAACAATTAAATAAATAAATCATGATAATTTTAAAATTTATTATGTATACATATCTTCGTAATTTATTTTTTAAAATAAAAATCAAATTCTATTTTTTTATTTTCAAATTAGAATTGAGCTCATTTATATATACCACCAAATCTAATCACTGATTTCCGTGAGTTATAATTTATTGGAAATATGAAAGATGTGAGGAAGCAAAAGCATGCAATAAATAACCAAAACACTAATAGAGCCTAGAATTAGAGGGTGATTTTCTGGTAGTCTTGTCCGAAGAAGCTGAGTGATGGCGACTAGTGAAGATGAAGAGAAGCAGAACGTAGCAGATCTCAGCAAAACCCTAAAAGAAGGAGAAAGGATTCTCGCCCCGACCCGACGACCCGATGGGACCCTCCGAAAGCCTATTCGCATCAGAGCCGGCTATGTCCCTCAAGAAGAAGTCGCTATTTATCAACCCAAACCTGCCCTCGTTAGTACCCTTCTTTACTTTCATTCTTTCTTCTTTTCTTTTTCTTTCTATGCACCCCTTTTACTTCCTAACCCCTTTGACTTTATAAAGATTCAATCTTTCGATCACCCAATGAAATGGGTCTTTTTACAATGTGTTGGGTTGATTTAATTAACTTGGGAATGGAGAAATAATATAATGTTGCATAATGCATATTACTTCCCTTTGGGTTTTCTTTTTATACATTCATTTTTTTATTTTTTATTTTTTGGTTTTGGATGATGCAGTTGAGAAAGGAGTTGGCTTCACACGCTGGTCCTCCAGGTTATGACCCTGAATTGGATCCAAAACCAAAAACCAAAGCGGTTAAGAGGAATGAAAGAAAGAAGGAGAAGCGGCTTCAGGTTTGTTTCATTGTTTCTCTATGTTACTCCTTAAGCTTATAAAGTTAAAATAGCCTCCAAGCCTATCTTACTCAAAGAAGAGGTTGAAGTTAAATATGATTTAAGTTATTATAAAGTGTATATTATGTAGATTGCATTGCATTGTTGTGGGAATAAAGAAATGAGGTAGTTAGTTACCAGAGTTGCTTATATATTCGAGCTTGTATGGCATTTTATAGGCTTCTCTTGAAAAGGAAAAGAGCTCAGAACCAAGTGTAGCTGAAGATAGTCAAAGCCAAGAAGCAGAAATAGTCGAGAGTTCAGATCACACATCAGAATCTGTCCATTCATTAGCCTCTCAAATGAATGAACTGGCTGTTTCTGGAAATTCCTCCATTGTTACTCCTGATGCCGACTCTGTCGAAGGTTCAGAGCCAATTGGGTCAGGTCAAGATATAGAAAAAAGAATTCGAGCACTGAAAAAGAAGGTATGCCAACTATGTTTTCGGACTTTCTGCTTTAGTGGAGATTAGCCTGAAATCTTTTTTCCCAACACGCATCTAGTATTGCTTCTATAAACATCAATTATTTCTGAGCTAACAATAATAGTGTCTGCTGAAGTTACTTCTAGTAAATAAGAAAGGCCATTTGTTCTGCATGTTCGGATACCTTGAATGTTCTGTGTTCTTCATACAACTTTTTATACCCCTAATGCTGCTAAGATCTAATGTGTGCATACATTTTTATTCCTGAAATTGAATTGTGCTGATTAATAGTGGGTAATGGAGAGTAAGGCCAGTGAACTAAACAAAACTCTCTGGTGATATTTAAAATAATAAATTTAGAGATTAGCAATTTTGCTAGTGTGGGTCATGGACTTAATTTGCTCCTTTTAGTATAGGTTATCTTATGAACAATTCCATTGATCACTTTTGCGCTCTATGCCACGAAGGGGATTTGTCTCGTCCAAATGGGTGGGAACACCCCCGGGAATCAAAAGAAAAAATAAAAAATGAAAACTCTTACTTCCAAATGTATATTTCAGTCTAAGCATGTATTAACTCTAATCTCTCGTCAATTCAGCTTGATCTCATTGATTTACTTCTGATTAATCAACTTCTTGGCTTCATTAAAATATATGGCTATTAATCATTCATTGAGCCAACAAGGATCCCTTGTTCATTCTTTGTCTTTCTTCTGTTTCTTTATTTATGCTGGTTTACTTTTTAACATCACCATTTTCACAAGAACTTAACAAATGAGAGTTCAGGCTGGTATGAATACATGGATACCATAGCAAGTGGGGAACAACTGTGTCTATGTTTAGCAAGAAGTCCAAATAAAAATGTGTCGTCCAGATTCAATTTGTTAAGTGGCTCTAAACTTGGGCCAAAATCTGAGTTGTTTTCAAGGGAGTATTTGGTTGGAGAGGATTGCCCATATTTTCAAGGGTGTCTTTTTTAACCTTGTTTTTGTTATTGGAAAATATTGTGTTTAGGTGATAATCTAGATTATTTGGATGGATGACTATTATGACACACTACATGTTTTTAAATTTTAATTTTCTCCATATTGCTAAAGAACTATCAAGGGTTCAAATATTGCTTTTCACTTAACATTTGATTGTTGGGTGCAGATTCGACTTACAGAAGCCCTACAGCAGAAAACCGCAGGGCAAGATATGAAGCCAGAGCAGTTAGAGAAGCTAGCAAAACTGGAAGATTGGCGTAAGGAGCTAAAACTATTGGAGGATAAAAAGGCTGAAGCACCGGCAGCATGAATAAAGCTTTAGAATTAGCATGATAAGAATGTCTAGTTCTTGATGATGCTTTGTTGACAGGATATGGACTCAACCAGTAAATCTACCGAAAATTTTCTTTTCATAATCTCATTTTTGCATGCATTTCGTCGGAATATTTTAGTAAATATCCTATTGTACTGAAGAAAAAGTTGATAACTGAGCTTTATGATTACTTCAAAATTTTGAATACTTATGCCTTTCTGTAGGACTATTCATCAGAAAGTTTGTTTTACAGAGCTTATTATTCAAGGCCCTTGTACCGAAAATAAACAATAAAGGAAAGCGTAGATCAAACATGAGGTTCTAGTCTTACTGATGTGAAGACATCAGAAGAAGAATTATCAAGGCTATCTCTACTCGTTTACTAAAGGATTGACTGAAATTGCTGAGTGTCATCTCCAAAATTTGGCTAAAAAAGCAAGTGGGGAATCTCGAGTTCGCAGATAACATAATAACTTTCTTGATTGACTGAAAAATTGAGTTTCGAAAAAGATCATTGCAAGAGATGCTTATATTATACGCAAGTCTTCCAATTTAATAGAAATTAATTTATCAGCAGTCAACAAATATATAGACCAATTAAAACAGTAATCCAAATGATTTGAATCTTTTCATAAAGTTACAGACAATGGCTGAAAACCACTTCACTGTTAATCACTAGGCCTAGTTCACAAAAACCTCACATTCCTAAAAATCAACTCTTCCTAAAATACATTATCCCAAAAACGCCAATACTTTAGCAGAGTATGACTATTGAGTAGACCAAGGTAGCCTCCTCCTATGATATCTTGTATCTTTAACATCTTTAAACCGAGGTACTATGAGCATTCAACATCTGAATCATCAGGCCCATCAATGTAAAGTTCAAAATCATCAGGAGTCCATCTGCAGATCAGATGAAGTCGAAATGTAGCCATCTTGATTCCAAGCAAACGCTGTCAAGAAGAGCACTCACTAAGTCAGCATATCAGTCTCGCTATACTATACACATTAATAATGCAGATACCATCATTGTAGTGTCAACTACTAACACTTCGACCATATAGTAGTAGATTGCCACAGGCACGTAAGATATAAGTGTGGATGACATGTGTGCGTATTATTAACCCACGTTATCGATAATATTGGAAATTCAAAGCGAAAACAAAACCACAGGCAACACTTTCCAAAAAAGCACAAATCAATCAATCGCATTGTCATTCACTACAGAAAAATGATGACCGGAGAAGGAAAAAGTCTTCCTACTCCAATAGTGAATATGCAACCACACTTGGCATGGATGGTTTAGGCAATAATACAAAATAACTAACCAGTATACGAGCTGCCTCAGGTGACAAGGGCTTCCCCTCCTCACAAACAACAAAATCGGAAATGAGCTCCACAACACCTGCAAATTTTGGAAACATCAACTATGCATGTACACGGTTGGCAGGTGAATTCAAATCATAATCACAAAACAATGCACTAGTGCACCTTTTGTTAACCGAACAGGCATGCCTTGCTTCCGAAGAAAAGGTTCCATCTCATGTGTGAACTGCTCTAAAGGACCCTCTTTGAGATCCACCTGAGACAATCAGATCATGAAAGTGAGATTTATTACAGATTATAATACATGCAATATGCTTGAGAACGTAAAGGATATGACAAGCAAATGGTTTCTGTTGATCTGGAAGATAATTCAGTGCTCATAAATAAGTCACAACATTTCACCCATAAGAATGAAAATCTTGCAATTAGCAATCAAAAGTTTCTGTAGCTGTTTCGCCAAATTACCCTATGACTTTCGTTACCAGGTATTTGCATGATTAAGTTTATATGTTAAAAATAAACAAGACTCTGAACACCTTTTCAGTGGCAATGCTTCCTGTTCTTGCAAAGTCATATTCCTCAAATTCATTAAACAACCTGCAAATAATGGCATAAACAAAAATCAGGTTAGAGTCTAGAAAAGAAAATGAGGCATCTAGAATGACTGGGTCGTACAATGTTACATTAAAAATATTCTGAATACCAAATTGAATATCATCTTTAAGACAGTGAGATAATATTGACAAAGAACACAGGAACATGCTGCACGGACCAATAATGAATTTGCTCGTTACTATTCACACCTAAACTTCTAATCTTCATAGAATTAGTAGCTATTACAAAACATGAAACTAACAGTTTAGTCTTGAATCAACATTTTCTACAATCCTTCAATAGACACTCACATAATGTAATCTCAATTTCTAATGAGAAGAAGAAAAACCTTGATGAAAATATTATATATATATATATATATATATATGACTACATAGCTTCATATTTATGTTATGGCACAAGCAAGGAATCATATCCTATCACTTAACATAATTTTTAATCTTTTACACAGTTTTTTTTTTTTTTTGCCAATACAGGAATATTTAATATTCTTCATTAAATCACTAAGGTCTTAAGGAAAAGATATATTAAAAAGTTAATACTAACGGCATAATCTTTATACCCGGTAAAACTAAAAAAACATTATTTTTGCCAAGATTACCTTTCAACTTCTTCTTTAGGCAAATTGGTAAAACACATCCCAGCATCTCCACGCAATAGCTACAAGAAACATAACAAATGGAATACAATAAGAAAATTGATAAATAAATAAATAAATAAAAATTTGTTGGTTGATAGAAAGGGATAATTGCAACCTTCGAAACTTTATGAAGGCCTGGTCTGATTTCATCAGCAGCAGAACGACCTAGTGAGATCTGCATTACTTTGTTTGAGCCAAGAAAGAACCTGCTATTCGATTTGAGTTGTTCCCTAAACTCCTTGAATTTCTGATTCCTCATGTTCTCGAAAGAGAACACGTACACAGAACCGTACTTATCAGCTGCATCTTTTATTGCGTTCACTATCGCCTCTTTGTGATTCCTTCCCTTTTTCTTTGTCTTCGACAGAGTAACTGCGTTTTTTTGTTACGTCAACAAAACCATCATCTTCTTCACTTCAAAATTTTGATTACATGCACAAAAAAGAAAAAGAAAAGGAAATTACAGAGCAACGAAACACAAACCTTGTCTATTACGCTTTGACTTTGGCATTTTGATGCTCTTTCGCTTGCTCTGTCTCTGAACCCTTTTGGAATTGCAGCTTCTCTGTTTAATAGGGTTTTACATAACCGTTTATATAAGAGACTCGGGTCTGTCACGGCTATTCGGGTTGGACTCCGTTTTCAACAATGGGCTTTGCGTACCCATATCCGTCTTCAAATTGGGCTTTCTCATAAGTGGGTTTCGTATATTTTTCTTAATTAAAGTACAATATAGTTTTGCATAAATCGTAATAAGATGTAGTACATGTAGTAAATAATATATAATACATGAATGACAATAGTGATTTACCCAATCCTGTTTTTTATATTTCTTAGGAATAATTAGAAAAATACCAAATGTTTAATTTATTCAAATTGAGCATTATTATCACAAGTTAAGAAGAGTACAATTAGTTTACCAACACAAAAAAAGTACAATTAAGCCCACCAAAAAAAAGAAGAAGAGTACAATTAAAAAATCATATAACCATTTTACAAAAATATATATATTTAGATTCAAAATCATGACTATTCTACTAATTAATCATTCTGAAAACATAAACCTTTGGCTTATAATCGTTACCGCGGTTGAGTTGAGTTATAATTAAATTTCTTTGAGCTATTTACTAACACCAGTAATAGATGATTATACAATTTAAAATATTGAAAAAAAATTATGAAAATGAGGAAAATATTTAATTTATTCTATTTATTTATTATAAAAATTTATAAAGATAACAAATCACACGAAAAATATGTTAATAGCACATTGAATTAGTGATACCATAAATAGGTTACATTGGGTTGGATTAAAATTGTGTATAATATTTTAAGTCCAATATGACTTGTTAACTTATGGAGAATATTTTAAAAATAAAAATGTTTAGATTAGTCCATCAAGTCTATAATAATTTTAAGGGAAAGGTTCAAATATGTGTTTTTCCTTGGAATCATTTATATCCATGTGTTTTTTTTTATCATTTACGCCTCTATATTTTTTTATCATTTGCACGCGTATATTTTTTTTATCCTTCTTACAAAAAATAGTCCAATACCAAAGGTCAAAGCTATAGATTTACATGATGAATTTATCCCACATTTTTGTATCGAAAAGAGCCAAATGGCCAAGGCAAAATTTATAGATTTACAAAGAAAGGCAAAAACTATAGATTTACAAAGAAGTGCCAAATACAAAATGATAAAGGCATCAAATGTCATTTTAATGATTATAAGAATATTCTTATAATTGTTTTATAATTTAACCCAAACAAATATTTAATGTTTATGGATTCTTACTTCTTCTTCTTTTGGTAAACAGTTCTTACTAATTTTTTAACCCAACATTGAATTTTTCCTTTTTATTAGTTTTATATAATGTTTTAAAAAAAATGCAACAACAAATAGTGGCATATAGCATATGTCATCAACAAATTTATTTGTGAATTATAATCAATTAATTGATAATTTGGTAATTTTTTAAAATTTATTAATTGATTATTATTAATTTGCACAAAAAATTTACCCATTAATTGATTATAAGAATACACATTTAAACATAAACAGAATCAATTAATGACTTTATACAAATTTTCCATTAACAAAAAATTACCAGTATTAATATAATAATTAATAATTGTAATTATATATTAATTTATATTTTAAATTATTTGGTATATAAAGTAAGTGAGAGGGGAATATGAATGTTTATAAAAAGGATAATGAATTTTTTTTATTTTTTATAGATAAAAAATTTGCGCGATTCAATTGGCTTGTGCTTTTTTTTGTACATGAAAAACGCAAAAAAGAAAAAAAAAAAAAAAAAAAAAAAAAACAGTGCCGCATGAGGGTGACATTGACCATCTCAATGGTAGTTAGATTTTGAAAAATCTCAAACTCGAGTTTTTTTATCTAATAATTCTGAATGGTAAAACAATCTCTTTTTTTTGTAGAAGGTAAAACAACCTTAATAATTAAATAGGTGAGTTAAGAAAAAAAAAAAAACTGTGTATACTTATTTGATGAGTAATTTTCCAACTTATTTTCTCCTTAAGAAAAAGGGATTTATTAAGAATTATTATAAAATAATATTTGATGCCATAACCATTTTGTATTTGGCTCTTTTTTGCAAATCTGTAGTTTTGGGCCTTTGGCCTTAACCATTTGACTATTTTTAGGACAAAAATATGGAATAAATTCATCATGTAAATTTACAGCTTTCGCATTTGACTCTTTTTTATAAGAAGGGTAAACTAAATACATTGATTAAGTTCCTAACGCTCTCGGGGAGCGTTTGGTTGAGGAGAAATTTTATGAATGATAGGAAAATGTTATTGGTACGGAAATAGGAAGAAAATGAGTTTGGTAGGAAAATGTAAAAAAAAAATGTTTGGTTGGAAAAAAATTTACCGGAAAAATTAGGTAACATTTATAAAGTCTATGTTTGGCTGTAGATAAAATATAGATAGAAAAAAAAGTTGATATTACAAAAATAACCCTGTTTTAAAACATGTAAACTTAAGTTTGTATTTTTAAATACTGGCAGTCATACACCTCTAAATTGTTATTCAAGCATTGAACATTAAAGTGGAAATTTGATTGATTGTCCTGACTTCATATACCATACCAGTTCCTCCGATAAAACATGTAAACTTAAGTGTCTTATTGAACATTAATATTTGTTTTGTAGCAAACTCATATAACAAGGTGCTTAATATTTATGTTTTCTGATGCTATGCTCGTAAAGCCAAGATATAATATCACCAAGCACGTGAAATATAGTTTCATTAGGTTCACCCTCAAGTAGTGTGTGGAACGCATCCTTATTTATAGATGCAGAGTTTCTTGTCCTTGACTTTAGCTTTCTCGTACACAGTTGTGCAAGCTGATGGATATGTTATTATATCAGATTTTTGAAGGGTACGCTTGTCATCTTGGAATATCATTTATCTAGATAACCTGTAATACCACCTATCAATTGGGATTATTTGGCCTGCTATATTGATCAGAATCATATGCAAATGGGTTGGCTAGAACAATCATTTAGGTAGACAAATTTATGAAACCCTTCGACCAAACAAGGTGATCATACAATCCCACTTCTCCATTTTCTTATCTATCTCATCAAAATCCTCCAACCAAACACACCCTTAAAGACAAAATTGGATAGGAAAAAGCATAAGGGTATAAATGATAATAAAAAATAAAAATTTCAAAAAAAATCCTATAAGTTTCCTCTAGAATCACTTACCCACTCCCCAAAATTTTGAATCATTTACATCTTTACTTAAAGTTTCTTTATCACTTTTCCCCGAACTTAATTTTTCATCCAAAAATAAAGTTAATGGAGTTAATATTTTTGAAAAATACCTTTATTAACCTTAAAATAAAGCAGAAAAAAAAACGTAAAGGAACCCTTGATGTCCTGTGACTGCGATTTGTGTCGCCTTGTCATCATATGGTGCGTCGTAGCCTTTTCTTTATCACTTGTAGAGGAAGAGAGAGAATGCAAAGTAATGCGCTACACAGCTCCAAAATAAGAGGAGGATAAATTTTGTAAGCGTTGTTGTGTTGTATTTTGTAGATATGAGTGCGTATATCTTTTTGTTTGAAGCTTGTGGTTCTGTGATTTATGTCCTTTGTGTTTATATTTTTTATGACCCTCTTACCTTCTTTCCCTCCAAACTCCAACTCTCGCACAACATAACCCACCCTTTTATGGTGAACTGGATCTTTTTCGTGGTCAACGCTTGTTTTGGATTTTGGGTATTTTTGTCTGTGTGTTGAATCAATGGTTATTTCTAAGTTAGAATTTTTGAAGGTTACTTTTGATATATTTTATTTGTCAATTTTTTGTGATTTTTTCTTGGTGCCCTTTGATGGAGATGACAACTCAATTTGAAATTTTTTTATTGTAACATCCTCATCTCGAGCCGGTTCAATTAACATACATATGATACTTAACAGAAACAACAGAAGACTTAACTTACGAAAATACGAGCTAACTTTTTTTCTTCCGTTGTTTATGTTAAGTATCATATGTATGTTAATTGAATCGGCTCGAGATGGGGATGTTACATTTATCTTAGTCTGTTTTACTCATATGAATGGCATATTTATTTATCTTTCCTTTAGTTTTTTTTGTGTGGCTCCTTTTTATGGTTCTTTTGTTGCTCCTCTGGCATGTGATCAGAAGAGGATATTTCATATTGTTGGATATGTGGTTTGAGTAGAAAATAGTAAGGTGGGGATTGAACGGTTACACCTAAGAAGGGTTTGGATATTGTTTGGTTGTTTCAAGACTAAATTTTTGGTAGCTGGATGTTGGTTCCAACCATAATTACTAAATGGTTACACCTAAGAAGGGTTTGGATATTGTGGTGTTCGCGATGCAATTTAGATAGTGAAGTATAAAGTTGATAACTGTTAATTGAGAAATACATATTACTTTGTATGCAGGTTGTAAGCAATTTAATCAGTAATTCATTAATACATGTTCAACAATGATCATTCAAGAACATGATACAGGATCTTTAGAATTCATGATTTTCACATAAGAGCGTACCTTTCTCCATTAGTGCGGAAGAACTCTGATGAAGAACTTTGATGATGGAAGATTGTTTCTCAGAGTCTTTACCCTCTGCTTTCCTTGTATCGTCTATGACAGGGATCTGATACAACTTTTATGGGCAGACCATGAAGGAGAGAATTCTGAGAGATTATCATGCTCAGAGACTCACCACTTTTCACTTTATATAACTGAACCATGTCACCAGTTACAGAATTTCAATTAACTCCGTGTAACTTCCCATTAATGCGAAACGTCAAAACGTCAATTACCATTAATGCGAAACGTTACCATAATGCAAAACGTTAAAACGTTAATTATCATTAATGTGAAACGTTGCCATAATGCAAAACGTCAAAACGTCAATTACCATTAATGCGAAACGTCAATTACCATAAAGCCTCTTTTATTATTTAATTAAACCGATTGACACACGTTACACATGAGACACAAATAGTTTTACATTCTCCCACTTGGCTCATGTCATAAGG